GTGTTTTTCCTTCTTTTGAAGAACAAGAGGTTCCCAGCTAAACATCGAGGTGTCTGTACACCTCAGTGCGCCGGGCGCGAGCACTAGCCGCCGCCCCCGCGCCGGATCTGCGCACACAGGGATATATCCATCAGTTTAATTTAATTTAATTTTTAATTAAAATGAATTTATTATATTTTAATTTTATTTTTGCTTCTTTCGGGGATCGCGGGGGCCGTCCGCGCTTGCCGCTTCCTGCTGCAGCCCCGCTGGCCTTCAGTTTGCTGTTTTTCGCCTCTCTATTTGCCGCGTTTGCTGCAGATGCAGCAGCAGCAGCACCAGCCCCAGCAGCAGCAGCAGCAGCACCAGCCCCAGCAGCAGCAGCAGCAGCACCAGCAGCACCAGCAGCAGCACCAGCAGCAGCAGCAGCAGCACCAGAGGGAGGAGCTGAAGAGGAGCATGCAGAGGCCGGGGAAGGCCTTTATGAATACCGAAAAGTTGGGACGGAGTTGGTGGACTTGTGGCGTACGTACACCTCAATGGGCGAGGCCCTGAACCATTTGCTGCGGGACTACAACGTAGCTTTGCTGCAGCAGCAAAAGGTGGAGGTTTCTGGGATTTTGGCAGCAAAGCACAAGGCAGCAGCAGCAGCAGCTGCGAAGGCTGCTGCTGCTGCTGCGCCTGCTGCTGCTGCTGCTTCCGGGTCCCTCAGGCGCCGCGCAGCACTTCAAAAGGAACGCGAGAAGCAGCAGCGCAAACAGGCGCTGCTGCTGCTGCTGCATGCAGAGGCCACTCAGCTGAAAGAACTGAAGCAGCAAATCAAAAAGATAGACGAAAGAGTTGGGAAACTCCCCCCCTACAGCAGTGCTGCTGCTAACATTGCTTTGATTCGCTCGGGTGCTGCTGCTGCTGTTAATGTGGCGCAGGCGCTGAACAGTTCTGCTGCTGCTCTGTTTCACCGCGCGCTGCAGCAGTACGTGGGGCTGCTGCAGCAGTTCAGCAGCAAACAAAAAGAATTGTTTCTTTTAATTCAAAAAATAAAACAAAATGCTTTTGATCAAAGAGAAAGACTTTCGCTAATTGAAAACGAGGCGCTCTTCGACAGAGCTTTCGACACTGACGCCTCCATGGCCTTCAACTTGGCGGGAAAGCTGCAATGAGCGTTTAATCTTTGCAGCAATTAACTCCAATTCAACTCATTTGCTTTTTAATTTATAAATTAAACTATTTTAATTCACTTATTTTAATTTAAATGGCCATTTGAATTCCTTCCGGCCAAAAAAGACGTGGTCAAGAGGTGCGCATACACCCCAAGCTGCGCATACACCCCAGAGCCTAGTCCGCCGCTTCGAAACGAAGCCGCTCTTTCCGGACTCTTTCATTTATCATTTTAAATAATCCCGAATGTTTTAATTACTTTTAATTTAATAAATTTAGATTAATTAATTCAATTTCTTCGTTTTTTCGCCAGTTATTCCCCCTTTCGCACCATCACCGCAGCCGCCTGCTCAGACCTCAAGATTGTCAGGTTCGCCAGCTTCTTGATTATTTGGCAGCGCTCTTGCTGCATCTGCAAATAAATAAACAAATAAATAAATAAATATATAAATAAATAAATAAATAAATAAATAAATAAATAGATAAATAATAAAAATTTGACAGAGAAATTAGACCAAGTGGCGCATTTGCGGGAAACACTGAGTTTTTGCATGCAATGGGTAATTTCATTTTATTTAAAATTGCATTTTTGAATATTTAAAAAGAATATTCAAAAGGGCTTTTGCATGCAACATATCCAGACTGCTTTGCAAAACAAAACAAAACAATTTATAGAAGACAAAAAGCAAACTCAAAACAAAAGCCAGGTGGAAACAAACGCATGCAACTTTGGGGCTTTGCTGCACCTGCTGGTAATGGCCCAGCAGCCCTCGTGCTGCAGCAGCAAAAGCCCCAGCCTTTGCTGGTGCTGCTGCAGCAGCAAAGTTGGCTTTGAAGCGCCACCGCAGCAGCTCCACCCCCTGCACTTCCAGGGCCCCCAGCAGCACAGCCATTAGACCAATGGTCCCCAAGAAGAAGGCTGTGGGACGGAACCCAGAAGGACCACTGGCCTCTTCGGGGGGCCCCCCGGGGAGCCCCCCGGGGGGCCCCTCGGGGGGCCCCTGGGGGGTCCCCCGGGGGGCCCCTGGGGGGGCCCCCGGGGCCCCCCCTGCTGCTGCTGAGGCCTTGGGGGGATTTTTTAGATTTGCAAAACGCGGGTGGAGATAATCAAATGTTTGTACAAGTGTATGTACACCTGAAACCAGCAGCCGCACCAACGGCAAGTTCGGCACTGCAGCAGCAGCAGCAGCTGCTGCTGCTGCTGCGGCATCTGCTGCTGGTGCCTCTGCCGCTGCTGATTCTCCCGGGACTCCCGCTGCTGCTGGTGCTGCTGCTGGTGCTGCTCCAGTCGCAGCGTCTGCAGCAGCGGCGGCGCTGCTGGCAGCCGCCCCCGCAGCAGCAGCAGCAGCACCGTGCCCATCGTCATCATCATCAGCAGCAGCAGCAGCAGCAGGAGGAGCTGCAGCAGCAGACTCCGTGGTTTCGGGGTCCAGCAGCACCTCAGCCAGCGCCAGCAGCAGCAGCGCCTCATTTAAAGCTCTTTCTGTCTCGTCGAAGGCGGCGGTCTCAACAGCAGCAGCAGCAGCAGCAGCAGCAGCTGGGGGAACTGCGCAGGCCAGCCGAGGCAAATAAAACACAAAACTCGAAATAAATGCAAAAGTGAAATAAAAGTATTTATTTATTTCCAATGCTTCTTGAAGCAGCGGCAACAAAGCTACGTCTTTTCTTTTTTTCTTTTAAATATTTAAATGGATTTGTTTCTCTTCTTATTTGTTTTAATTCATTTCCCAGTCTACGAGCTGCCTCCTGGGTTGGCTAGCTAGCTGTTGCTGGCTAGCTGTGGCTAGCTAGCTATGGCTGCCTAGCAGTAACTGGCTAGCTGTAGCTAGCTAGCTATGGCTAGCTAGCTACAACTGGATAGCTGTAGCTAGCTAGCTGTGGCTAGCTAGCTGTGGCTAGCTAGCTGTGGCTAGCTAGCTGTGGCTAGCTAGCTGTGGCTAGCTAGCTGTGGCTAGCTAGCTGTGAAGATATCTGACTGCAGACTGCCGCGTCTTACCCGCATTTTGCTGGTCCGCTGCCTCTGCGTCATTTTGGCAGTCTCGTTTTTCGCTGCTGCTGCTGTTGCTGTTGCTGTTGCTGCTGTTGCTGCTGCTGCTGCTGATGCTGCTGCTGCTGCTGCTGCTGCTGGTGAGGGGGTCGGCTTCGTCGAGTCGGGTGTACAGACAGGTGGCGATTTGGGTGAGCATTTGTCGGGCGACGTTGGCGATTTCTTTTTTTTCATTTATTTCATTTTTGTTTACTTTGTTGGGTTTAAAATGAATTTTGGATTTTAAAATCAAAAACAAAAACACCCGCAGCAAACTCGAAAGCTGCTCGTCGCCAAAAGTCGAAATATCGGCAGAGACAAAAACCGCAGACAGCAAATCCACCAGCAAGTGCTGCATGCAGCAAAACCCAAAAGTTGAGCTTTTATTAATTAATTAATTAATTAATTAATTAGTTGATTAATTAATGGATTGATCGTTTTTAATAAACTGAAATGCTTTTGGCTTTTTATTTGAAAGCCGGCGGCTATTTTTGACCCGCTAGGGTGTACAGACGCCTGAGTATTGCAATTTTCTCTCCATTTAATTTGCACAATGGGTTTTTTTAAATATTCAATTCATTTTATTAAATGAATTAAGTGAACTAAGTGAATTAAGTCAGTCAACAATTAAAATAATGGAATTAATTGAACGTTTTAAAGCGGGTTGTTTGCTGCTCCTGGGATGTACGTACAGCTAGCTGCATCCCCTGCGCCGTCAAAATGCTTCTTCCCTGATGGACTTCTTCGAAAGCCCAAGAGGAAAAGAACAAAAGAAAAGAAATGTTTTCGAAAGTGGCGGAGAAGAGTTGGCGTTGTTGTTGGCGGCTGCGTCCAGCTGTACGTACACCCCAGCAGCGCGCGCAAAATCGCAAGCGCGGCGGCCCAAACGGTCCATTTGTTTGCAAAATAAGCAAAAAGACTATTTTTAAAAAGACAAACTTGAATTAAAAGGCAAAGAAACCTTAAAAGAAGCGAAAGGCCAGTTTAGTGAGCTCAAAATGCCGAAAAAAGCCGCTAGCCCACCCCCGATTTGCTTCAAAAGTGACAAACTGCAAATCAAATAATCCACAAGTCCCCCTCGAACTAAAGAACAGCAAATTTGGCGCTTCGCCTCGGATGCCGAAACGACTCCAAGTTCGTCTCTGCGTCTCGCGAGCTTGAGGAGTCTTCTTTGGAATTCGCAGTTGCTGCAGGGGCACCTGAAAGTGGAAAGTGGAAAAAAATTGAAAACGCTTTCAAAACCTCTTCTTCTTCCAAATGCAACCGACACGTTTAAAGCCCTTTTCAAGACGCTTCCAACGGCTACCCCGGCACTGCCCTGTCGATACACCGCAGCGCTGCATGCGTGCATGCAGCTGCATACCTGGGGTGTACGTACACCCGAGAAAGCCGCGGACCTCGGGTGTACGTACACCCCAGAAAGCCCACCTTTCGCCGCCGCATGCAAAGGCCCCCGCAGCCCAACAGAAAGAACTCGAAAGTGCGCGGCGAGCCAAAGAAGGTCCCAAACCAAAAGTGGCAATTGCTGCTGCAGCTTGGAGCTGCGGAGACACCCTCACAGTGGCTGGGGTGTACGTACACCGCAGCAGGGGCCCGCGGGTTCGAAGCGAAATTAATAACGCAAAGTTCAAAAGAAACAAAAAGAAAAAAGGTGCAGCTGGAGGGCTGGACAAGGCGCGAGAAAAGAATTAATTGGAAAAATAAAAGTGGAAACAAATCGGAAAAGAATTCGGAAAAGACCGGGGGCGCGCCAGCAACGGGGTGTCCGTACACCCCGCGTACCTGCATGCGAAGCAGCTCTTCTTTGTTTGTTGTTTCATTTATTAAACTATTTTTAAAATTTAATAAAAGTTCAAAACAGTTAACGCGCGAGAAGCAAAGCGCCATTCTCTCCACCTGAGTGTACATACACCGCAATCCACTCCACATAAACACTTCGGGATTTTCTGTCCAGAATTTCATTTTTTATTTTCCAAACTTTTCCGCACTTGTATGCATTACTCAATTAGTTAATTAATCAATTAATTGCAATAAAAGAGTCAAAAAGGAATTTAAAAGAATTTAAAAGAATTAAAAAGAATTAAACAGAATCACAAAGAACCAAATTAATTCAATTAATTCAATTAATTCAATTAATTAATTGAATTAAAGTAATTACTTTAATTAATTTTATTAAATTTTTAAATACATTAGATTAATCAAATTAATGAAATGCAACTAAGTAATTATTTACAAACCACTCTATGGGGCGGAAAAGTCCAAAGCGCAGAATAGAGAAGTCTGAGGGCGGCGAGCTGGAAGTGGGATTTCCTTTTATTTTTTATTTCTTTTTTTGTTTCTTCAAATTCTTTATTTCTTTCTGCATTAATTTCGCAATTATTTAATTGATTTAATTGATTTAATTGATTTAATTGATTTGTTTGATTTGTTCGATTTGTTTGATTTGTTTGACTTGTTTGCTTTGATTGATTTGTTTGGTTTAATTGATTTAATTGATTTAATTGATTTAATTCCATTTCTTTTGTTGAAGTTGTTTCTTCCAATTCCGGGAAACTCCCGGTGGTGCTGGTGGAAGCGGCTGCAGGGGCGTTTTCGTAATTTGCGATTTCTGGATTTTGAGTTTTCAAAAAAGAAATTAAACTTGAAATAAATAACTGCATGCGCTCCAATTCGTTGGACTTCCAATTAATGTCGACATAGTAAGAGTCTCTTTCCGACAAAAAATAAATCAAAAGAGAAACAACTCCCATGTCGTCGTCGAAGGGGTCCAGTGACACCAGCGCGAGCTGTTCGTACACCTGAACGCCAAGTGCAAGTTGCGAGCATTTTGGCTCCCAGTTGGTCCAAAAGAAGATAAATTTAATTTATAAATGATTTAAAAACAAAATAAAACTTTTAAAATGCAAAAAACGCGAAAATTCCATCAAAATAACCCACCAAAAGTTGGATCGCGAAGCCAACAGATGCACGTCGGAAGCGGAAACTTGAATTCTGCTGCTGCGGCTGTCTGTGATGTGTTTTTCTTTGAATTTTGTTTCAATTTTAAATACTTTTTGAATTTAATTTCATTTATCTTCTTTTTTGTTTTCTCACATTCAAAATGCGCTCGATGGCGCCGGCGCTGACCCCGCGGGGCTGCTGCAGGATGCGGCAGTAGAGTGTATGTACACCGCAATCGAAGAAGGCCTCGGCGACTTGGCTTTCTTTGCGCGCGAGTTCTTGTTGGAACTTAAACCTTTGAATTGGGTTATTCTTTGCATTTAATTCTTTTTCTTTTTCTTTTTTACTTTCTTTTTCTTCTTTATTTCCTTTTTCTTCCACTTCCCCCGCCCACTCCCGCGCCGCCTCCGCCCGCGCCTCCAGCCGCTCCGCCGCCACTGCGTCCGCCACGGAGTGTACGTACACCTCAACGCCCCGCATGTCCCCCTCCGCCAAAAGCGCCTCAGCAGCTTCCAAAGCGCATTTCAGATCTGCAGCAAACTCGGGCCTCCGGGGAGGCCTTTTGTATATTCCTGGCATTTTATTTGGTCCAGAAGACGCTCGAAAAGGGGCTTTAGTGGCTCAGTTTCGGGTGTATAGACACCCCAAAACGCGGAAACGCGAAGGCAAAAAAAACGGAATCAGAAAATATGTTTTAAATCCTTTTCAAACTTTTAATTCAACTTGAAATGCTTTTGGCTACTTTTGAAGTGTGCAGACAGCCCCTGCGGCCCGATCTGCCGCTAAAAGAATGCAAAAAAGAAATAAATGGAGTTTTGATTCCTTAAGTTTGAATTATTTTCAAATTTCATTCATTTGAATGCAAAAAAGGAAAAAAATGCCAAGGACAGCTACCAATTCGCAGCCCCAGAAGCTGCGTGCTCGCGCTGCTGCTGCTGCTGCTGCTGCTGCTGCTGCTGCTGCTTTCGCGGCAAGAGCAGCAGCAACTCCACAGCAGCAGCTGAAATATTAAAAAATAAAAAGGTTTGCTTTTTAAATTCTTTTATTTTAACTTTAATTAACTTTAAAAGCAACAAATCCATTTGGCTCTGTGCGCCGCAACAGCCAGAGCCGTGTGCAGTCGCCAGCGGTGCAACTGGCGCTGCGAAAAGCGCGGAATGAAGCAAATAAGCATTTCAAATGAACATTTTTAATAAATAATGTAAATTATTGTTTTAAATAATTGTTTTAAAAGCATTTAAATATATTTTTAAGGGTGATTTCTCCAGAGGAGTTCGGGTGTCGCCGCGGGGCTGAAGTGACTCTGCGTGTACACCCCAGCAGCGCGCGGCCAACTAAAGTGGAAACAGCCCAATTTTGCTCCTTTTGGACTTCTTTTGAGCTTCTTTCAATTCAAATAAGTGATTAATTGCAAATTAAATATTTAAATAATTAAATAAAAACGAAAAAGGTATATTTGATCGGTATTTGAAGAGGCCTGGGATAAAGTGTCTGTGACGGAGTATCACGGAGTATCACCGCAGCCACTCGCGACCCACAGCATGCATGCGCCGCTCCGTCTCTGCTGAAACTGCTGAAATTCTCAATAAAATTGTTTTAATTTAATTTTAAATTAATTTAAAAACATTTTTATTTTCAAAAATTAACATTTGGCCAACAAATGGCCAAAAACAGCGGAGAATTACCCCCAGAGTCGTCAGCGCCACTCACAGCGGTTCTCAAACTTGAAAAAAATTCAAAATTTGAACTAAAGTTCCACCATTTCATCAAATTACGCAAAAATATATCAAGGTTTGAATTAAATTTCCATTATTATTGCCTTTTTCTTTAAAATTTCCCCAAATTTGAATTAAATATCCATTATTTTAGTCATTTTCTTGAAAAGGTCTCAAAATTCGAACTAAATATCCAACTTTTCATGAAATTACCCCAAAATATCTCAAAATCTGAATTAAATATCCACCATTAAATGCATTTTTTATAAAAGTTTCAAACTTTGAGTTAAATATTCATCAATAAATGCACTAACTTGAAAGTACTTCAGGCTTTGAATTAAATATTTATCATTTCAAACATTTTCCTGAAAAGTTTTGATTTTAATATTCAAATTTATTTCATTTTGTTTGCCTGCAGCAGCTGCTGCAGCAAAAACAGCAAATTGTGGCTATTTCATTTTCAAATATTGTAAAATATAATATTGCAAACGAAATGGATATAAACCTTTTAATTAATTATTCTTTCATTTACTTTTTGAATGCTTTTCATTAAATTCCAAAGCGAACTGCTGCATGCACTGCAACTCTTGCATGCTTCTCTCTGGCTGCATGCAAGCAGCTTGCTGCTGCTGCTACTGCTTCTTCTGCTGCTGCTGCTGCTGCTGCTGCTGCTGCTGTTGTTGCTGCTGCTGCTTCAGAATAGCCTCACCTCTTGTAAAGATACTTTTAAGGCTTTATTTTAATTTCTTATGGAATTTAAAAATACTTTATTGTGCTTAATTTTGAAATTTAAAAATATTTCATTTTAATTAATTTCGAAATAGCTCATTAGACTTTTCCCTTAATGGAAGCCCGCGGGTATTCATTTTTGTAGAAAAGTCCAGCACAAAACATTTTAGTTTTTATTTTTAAAAAATAAATTTAATTTGAAATAAAAACAATAAAATACTTTTGCTTCTCAACTTGGCAGCAACTTCGCTGCACTTGTCTTCTGCTGCAGCACGTAGTGTTGCTGCTGCGCTGCAGTTGGCTGGCAGCAGCAGCAGCAGCAGCAGCAGCGCAGCAGCAGCAGCAACAAGCACCGCAGCAGCTGCTGCTGCAGCAGCAGCAGCTGCTGCTGCTGCTGCTGCTGCTGCTGCTCTGCAGCTGGAGGCGAGCAAAGAATGAGCAGGAGCAAATGCCCATTAGGAAATCTCTTGGCATTTTCAGTTTGAAAAATAATTAATTTTTTAATTTTCAATTTAAAGAAATATACTTTTTAGTTAAAATATAAAATATATTTTCAGTTTTCAAAAAGAATCCCAAATGGGAAATGCCCAAATTAAAAGACCCTCAAAATTAAAAAAAAAAAAATTTATAAAATGCTTAAAACAAATTTTAATACATACTTTTATAATAATAATACTAATAATAGTACTATTTATTATAATAATGCATCATTATTATTGTAATATAATATTATAATATATTAGCAATTAACTTGATTAATTATTAAACTAATTAAAAGCATCATTAACAATAATAAACTATTTAGTTAGTTAATTAATTAATTAATTAATTAATCAATTAATTAATTAATCAATTAATTAATTAATTAATTAATATTACTATTTAATTAATCAATCAATTAATCAATCAATTAATTAATTAATTAATTAATTAATAGTTAATTAACTAATTAAATAGTATTATTGTTAATTAATTAATTAATTAATTGATTAATTAATTAATTAATTAATTAATTTATTTATTTATTATTAAATAAATTGAAAGTATAATTCAAATAAACACTTTCCGCTAGAAAGTCAATCAGCAGCTTTTGATGCTGCAGCAATTCCCTTTAAATATAAATACTTACATAAATCAATTATAAATACTTTTACAAATTAATTATAAATACTTTTATGAATTAAAAATAAATGGTTTAATGAAGGTATGTATAATTAGTTTATAAAAGTGTTTATAGCACTTTTATAAAGATATTTACAATTAATTTATAAATATATTTATCATTAACTTGTAAAGATATTTATAATACCTTTATAAAGATATTTTTACAAACTTTTAATTTAAGGAAATTCATAATACCTTTATTAAGATATTTACAATTAATTAAAAGCGATATTTATAATACCTTTTAACAACACCTTTGTAAAGACAATTATAATTAAGTTGGAAAAATATTTATAATGCATTTATCAAGACATTTATAATTAATAATAATATATATATATTATAATAGTTATAAAAGTACGTATAATATCCTTATAATGGAACTCTTATAAAGATATTTATAGTACCTTATAAAGGCATTTGTAATTAATTAAAAAGGACATTTATAGTGCTTTTATAAAAGCATCTTTATAAAGTTATTTATAATTCCCCACAGAGCATGCAAGGAGAACTGCAGCAACACTGCAGCAACACTGCAGCACAACTGCAGCAAAACTGCAGCAAAACTGCAGCAAAACTGCAGCAAAACTGCAGCAAACTTTCTCTAAGTACAGATCTTTTTGTTTGAACTGCTGCTGCAGCGCCCTTGGAGCCAGGTTTGCTGCAGCAGCAGTGGACCCTCGCGAAACCTCTGTGCTGCTGCTGCTACACAAAGTCACAGTTTGCTGCTGCTGCTGCTGCTGCTGCTGCTACTTCTGCTACTTTTGCTCCTCTCGGGTCTAAAAGGAACAATTTAATCTGGTCATTGCTTATTTATTTCTTTAAATGCCTCTTGTGGCAGCTTTCTTGCCGCGCTCGTGCAGCAGCAGCTGGTTCCCAGAGCCCTGGAGAGCTGAACTGCGGAAACAGGCGCTATATTGGTAAAACCAATGAAAAAAGCCTCTGGAAAACAAGAATTATTGCATTTAAAAAGCAATAGTTGGTCAAAGTTTTGGTTTTTGTTTTAAATTTGAAAACGAGGCGCCGGTGCATGCCTGACGACCAGAGTCCGTCAAGCTGTACATACACTGGAAGGCATTTGGCTTCGTTGCAACAGTAACCGCGTCGATCCATAACTTTTTGTGCAGCATTTTTTTTAACTGAGTGAATTTGAATATATTTGGAGTTTTAAATTCGTTTTGGATTCCGAAGAGGCAGCGGAAGGGTCGTGTGAGGGGCCCCTGCTGCTCTGACCTCCTGGCTGGCGGGAGGAACGCAGCTAGGGGTTTCGCGTGTCTTTTGCTGCAGCAGCAGCAGCAAGTTGAGTTTTAAACAGCAAAAGCTCGGAAATAAGAAGGACTTTGGCCTTTTTTTCGAGCAAAGTCCACAAACATGCACGGCAGACGCCGCGCAGACCTGCTCCCGCTGTCTGCTGCCAAGCAGCAGCAGCAAAGGCAAAAGATCCGCCAGGGCTTTGCGCTGCTGCAGCAGCTGCTCAGCCAGCGCGCTTCAGGTGTACGTACACCTCAGGTCCTGCAGGCCACCCGAAAGCTCATCGAGTTCCACCCGGAACTCGCCACCATTTGGAGCTACAGGCGCGAGGCCCTCAGCCACATTCTGCAGCAAACCACGCAGCCCAGCAGCAGCAGCAGCAGCAGCGGCAGCAGCAGCAGCAGCGGGAAGGATGGCTGTGACGGAGGCAGCGACGGGGCCAGCACCCCCACGACCAGCAGCAGCAACAGCGGCGCGGCGACCGCCGCGACTGCCGACAGCAGCAGCAGCAGCAGCAGCAGCGCGTGCAGCATCTGCAGCGCTGCTGCTGCTGCATGCGCGGCGCTGCAGCAGGAGCTGCTGCTGACTTCGGATTTGCTGCGCAAAGGCACCACCAAGGCCTATTGCCTTTGGCTGCACCGCAGCTGGGTCTTGGCCAAGCTGCTCGAGTGCCAGCTGGCGAAGGATGCGCAGCACCAGCAGCAGCAGCAGCAGCAGCAGCTGCTGCTGCAGGAGCAGCGGCAAGAGCAGCAGCAGCAGCTGCAGGAGCAGCGGCAAGAGCAGCAGCAGCAGCAGCAAGTGCAGGAGCAGCAGCAGCAGCAGCAGCAGCAAGGGGGTGGCGGCTGCAGCTCGGAGTGCGGCGCTGCTGCTGCAGCAGAGCTGCTGCAGCAGGAAGTAAATGCATGCGAGAAGCTGCTGAGCGAAGGAGACAACAGAAACTTCCACTGCTGGCAGCACAGGGCCATGGTCTTGGTCTGGAGACAGGCGCTGCTCAGGTACCAGCAGCAGCAGCAGCAGCAGCAGCAGCAGCAGCAGCAGCAGCAGCAGCAGCAGCAGCAGCAGCAGCAGCAGCAGGGACAGGAAGTTTGCAAGACAAGTGAGGCAGCAACTAAGGGGACTTTTGGTGCGCGCTTTTTGTTCACAAGAACAGCAGCAGCAGCTGCTGCTGCTGCGGCAGCAGCAGCTGCTGCTGCTGCAGGAGCAGCGGTCGCATAATAGAAGCAGCCGCTGCTGTCGCTGCAGCTGCAGCCAAAAGGGGTCAAAGCTCGCCGGGCTGCACGTACATCCTGCTGCTGCTGCTACCGCTGCTGCTGCTACTGCTGCCGCTGCTGCTGCTGCTGCTGCTACTGCTGCTGCTGCTGCTGCTGCTGCTGCGCGCAGGCCTGTGGCAGGAGGAGGAGAGCAGCAAGGCGGATAGGGACTTTTGTTTGTCTTTAATTCAGTCGGACTTCTCGAATTATTCCGCGTGGCACTTTCGGGCGCTGCCGCTGCTGCTGCTGCTGCTGCAGTCGGAAGCAGCAGCAAAAGAGGAGATGGAAATGCTGTGGCAGGCGAGCTTTTGCTGCAGCTTTTTCGATTCCTCTGCTCTTTTGCTGCTCCAAACATCGCAATTTTATTTTTATTTCATTTGATTTAAATTGTGTTTCTTTTCTTCTTTAAATGCATGCAATTTTGCCTTTTCTTCCTTCCAAAGTGCCTCGCCTGCATGCACCGTTTCAGGTGTACGTACACCTCGCGAGCTGCATTTGCTCTAAATGCTGGTTTGCTGCAGCAGCCGGCCCACGCGCGTTTGCTGCTGCTTTTTGCTGCTGCTGCTGCTCTTTTTTTGCTGCTGCTTCCATCTTGCTGCTGCTTTCTCTTTGCTGCTGCTGCTGCTGCTTTCTTGCTGCTGCTGCTACTGCTGAGGATTTAAATGCATTATCGCTCTCTGCACGCATTTGTAATACTGAGAAAAACATTTAAACAAGATTTATGTCCAAATAAAATTAATTTTTAAATATAATTTATTTTAAGTAAAGTTTATTTTTAATTTTAATTCACAAGACCATAATTCTCTTAATTGCAAAAGTTAGGCTTTTCCTGCGGAAGCGTTTAAAAAGCATTTTATTCTTTTGCTGTCTGTTTAAATCCTTTCACGTCTCCAGGATTCATTTGCTGCCTTTGCTGCTGCTGCTGCTGTTGCTGCTGCTGCTGCTGCTGCTGGTGCTGCAGGGATTGTACACTGACCCGAAGGACCAAAGTTTGTGGCAGTATTATTTTCGGCTGTTGTCTTCGAGCCGCGCGGAGTGTACAGACAGCTTGTTGTCAGTGCGCTCCTTCTCTCCAAACAATTTTCTTCACACTTTATTTTTCTTCTTCAAACTGCCCTGCGCAGTTGCTGCAAAACAGACGCGCGTCTTCCTGCTGCAGCAAGGCGGTACGCAGCAGCAGCAGCAGCAGCAGCAACAGCAGCAGCAGCAGCAGTGAAATTTGCTGTGCCTTAAGAGGTAGTGCTAGCTCGAGAGTGGCAATTTGCTCAATTCTGGAGCTGAAAGAAATAATTGTTTTTAAACACAAGAGCAATTCGTGCTGCATGCACTTGCCTCTTCATTTACATATTTATACATTTACACATTTATATATTTATAAATATTTATATATTTATAGTTTTATATATATATATTTATATATATATATATGCGTGCGTTGGGGTGTACGTACACCTCGCAGCTGCAGAGCCGACGCCGCTGGTGGGCCAGTGGTCACCACTTTCTTCATTTTACGTTTTTCGCACGAGCGGCTGCGCCCCGGAGTGCGTAAAGAGAAACTAAATGAAAAATAAAATAAATAAATAAACTAATTGTTGAGAATATTGCCGGAGTTGGCGAAAAGTCGAAACTTTGCATGCGCGCGCCCCGCCGGTGTACGTACACCCCAGCGCCGCAACGTCTTCTTTTTGCTGCAGGGGAAGCAGCAGCTTTTCGGGCGCTGCAGTGTCTGCAGTGTGGCGGTTCACAGTAAGTTCTGGAGAGTCTGCAGCAGCAGAAAAGAATTCTTTGTTCGAAGTTTCCAAAATCCAGCTTCTCTTTGTCCACTTTGCTGCTGCTGCTGCTGCTGCCGGCCCCGTGGCCGACGCAGCCAAAGGCATTCACGCCTTTCACCTCCGCAGACTTTTTGCTGCTGCTCCAAATCTGAAAAGTCTTTTTTGCTGCTCAGCGGAGGCCCCGCAGCAGGGCTTTTCCTGGCTCTGCTACGCCCTCGCTCCCGAAGCTCCTGCTGCTGCTGCTGCTGCTGCTGCTGCAGAGGGCGCAGCAGCAGCAGGGGGCGCTGCAGCGCCAGATGGCGCAGCAGCAGCAGACGGCGCAGCAGCAGCACCAGAGGGCGCAGCAGCAGCAGCAGATGGCGCAGCAGCGGCAGCAGATGGCGCAGCAGCAGCAGCAGATGGCGCAGCAGCAGCAGCAGCTGCTGCTGCTGCAGCGGGGGAGCAGACCAGCCGCTGGGCCATCATCAGCAGCGCGGACTCCAGCGGCTGCTGCTGCGGATGCAGCAGCTGGAGCGTGGCTGGGGCGCTGCAGCAGAGCGCTGCTGCAGTTGCTGCAGCAGCGGCAGGTGCAGCAGCAGTAGAGGCTGCTGCTGCTGCTGATGGGAAGCTGCCGCGCCACATCAGCTTCTCTTTAGCTGCTGAAGAGCTGCAGCGCATTGAAGAGTTTCTGCTGCTGGAGCCCAACTGCAGCAACGCCTATTTGGCCATGTGTGTCTTCTACTACTTCATTTCATTATTTTACTTTATTTTATTTTATTATTTTTAGTTTAATGCCATTTATTTTTATTGTTTATAGTATGCATGCCATTTAGCTCCTGCATGCGCTTTGTCTTGTCTTTATTTGTTTATTTCTGCTGCCGATCTAGTGGATTTGTTGCTGCTCTTTTGCCATTCTTTTATTTTATTTTTTGCTTTTTTTCCTTTTATTTGTCTTTTATTCTCAGTCTTTTCTCCAATCTGCTGCAGCAGCTTTTTAGTTTTCCTTTAATGTTTTCTTCGATCCATTCAAACCCCTCATGCCTACCACTCGCTGCTGCTGCTGCTGCTGCCGCTTCTGCTGCTACTGCTGCCGCTGCTGCTGCTGCTGCTGCTGCTGCAGGTCGCGTTTGCTGCGGGCTTTGGCCCCGCACGACTTTTCGAAAATGAGGAAATGTTTGGAAGGCTTAAAAAGCTCTTCGGATGTTATTCCTGGGGTGTACAGACACGAGGCGGCTTGCTGCAGCATACGGTGAGTGAGCAGCAGCTAATCAATTGAGAGTTTATTTATTTAATTGAATCATATTATTTATTTGTCTATTTGTTAGATCATGTCAATTAAGAATTTATCCTTTTTTTTTAATCGTATTAAAGAACTAATTTATTTGTTTTATTGGATCATATTTATTTTAATCGTATTAAAGAATCAATTTATTTGTTTTTTTGGATCATATTTATAAAGAATTAATTTATTCATTTTGTTGAATCATATAATAAAGAATTAATCAATTTACTTTTATTAAATCGCATTAATAAAGAACTAAACAATTAATTTATTTTATTAATTCATATAAAAGAATTAATTAATATTATCAAATCATATAATAAGAGGCAAACAATTATAAATTAATTTATTTTTATTAAATCAATTAATTCCTAATTTCTTATTGTCTATCATTTCGAGATGCTGCCATTTAAATGGCTGCAAAAGAAGAGTCAGTTGATGTTTAAGGACTTGTTTTTGAATTAAATATAATTGAATTAAATACATTTAAATTAAATACATTTAAATATATTTGAATTGAATATAATTGAATTGAATACGTCTAAATACAGTTAAATTGAATATATTTGAATTGAATACATTTCAATGAAATACATTTGAATTGAATACATTTGAATTAAATACATTTGAATCAATTATATTTGAATGAAATACGTTTAAGTTAAGTATTGAGTATATTTAAAGTAAACATATTTGAATCAGATACATGCAAATGAACTCCATTTAAATTAATTGGTGAAATGCCTCTCGAGCGCTCGCCGGGTGCATTCGGAAGGTGGCTGTTGGGGTGTACGTACAGCGAGCTGGTGCACGCGCAGCTGTCGAAAAGAAATTCTTTTTTGAAATTAAAATTTGAAAACAAAAAAGAAATCGAAAAGGTTCCTTACCCGTTGCTGCTGGAGGCTTCGGACGCGCATGCAATATCGCTGGCGGGCAGCGGCGTCACCGACAGGTGCGTCGAAGTCTTTCAAGTTTTATTTTATTTTAATTTCTTTTCAATTATATTTATTTTACTTTTTAAATCCACTCTTCTGCTCCCTTCGGCGCGGAACTCCGCCGACGTTCGAACCCGCTCCGCGCGCTGCATGCGCTGGGGTGTACGTACACTGCGTGCGCTGGGGTGTACGTACACCGCATGCGCTGGGGTGTACGTACACCGCGTGACACCGCATTCGCTGGGGTGTACGTACACCGCAGGTCGCTGCTGGACTGGCACGTGCCCTATTTGCCCTTTCTCCGGTCTTTGAAATTGGCCGCCACAAATATAACTTTGCTTTCTCTCGTTCTCCTCTCCGTCGCGCAGCTGCCGCACATTCAGAAGTGCGGAGGCTCTTCCCTTTTGCCGCTGCTGCGGTCTTGCTGCTGCTGCTGCAGCAGTGCTGCTGCTGCAGCAGTGCTGCTGCTGCAGTGCTGCTGCTGCAGTGCTGCTGCTGCTGCTGCTGCAGTGCTGCTGCTGCTGCTGGAGTGCTGCTGCTGCTGCTGCTGCTGCTGCTGCTCCTAGTTTGCAGCTTTGAAATGGTTTGATTAAATAAGTTTGTTTGCTGCTTCAGGGTGGATTTGGCCTTCTCAAAAGTGACTTGTTTAGAAGAAGATAAAATGCTTTCCGAAGAAAGTCTGCAAAGGGCTGTCCAGCAGTCTTCTTTGGAGTGAGAAAGTGGAAATGCTTTTATTCAAACTTCACTTCAGTTTTTTGTAATTCGAATTCAGTTTCAAGTTTAATTCGGATTTAATTTGAAGTTTTAATTTGAATTTTACTTCAAGTTCTTACTTTAATTCGAGTTTAATTTCAAGTTTTAATTTGAATTCAATTCGATGCTTTTATTCGAATTTAATTTGAAGTTTTTATTCGAATATAACTTGAAGTTTTAATTCGAATTTAATTTTGAGTTGTGTTTTGAATTTGAATTTGAAATTTTTAATTCGGACTTCAATTTAGTTTGAAGTTTTAATTTCGGTATTTGCATTTTTTTGAATTGAAAGCTTTAAATTCTAATTTGAAGTTTTAAGTTCTAATTTGAATTTGAAGTTTTAGATTCTAATGAAGTTATAAATTCTACTTTGAACTTGAAGTTATAAGTTCCAATTTGAAATTGAAATTTCAAATTCTAATTTGCATTTTTGAATTCGAAATTATAAGTTTTAATTTGCATTTGAATTTGAAGTCATAAATTTGACTTTGCATTTTTTCATTTAAAGTTCTAAATTTGAATTTGAAGTTCCAAATTCTAATTTGCAACATAGAATTAAATTTAAACTTTGGGACTTTTTGCTTTTCGTTTTCTCTTTGGACAACTTCTTTCAATTTTTTTAAATTCAGATTTAATTTGCTGCGCATGCTGCACCAACTCGTGCAAATTTATTTTGCAGATTTATCTTCAAACTTATTTTGCCAATTTATTTTGCTAATTTATTTTGCAATAAGTCTGCAAAACATGAATAGATTTGCAAAATTAACTTATGGAATAAACTTTCTTTCAAGTTTATTTTGCAAATTTGTTTTTGTTTTGCGAACTTTTTGAAGTTCCTGTTATTAGTCCTGTCGCCATTCCATTTTAACATTTTAATTTGATTTTTTCATTGTTACCCTTTTTGGAATTTGAGATTTTAAGTGGCGCAAAGAAAGAAATAAATGAAGTGAAATGAAATAAATGAAATGAAATGAAATACATGAAATGAAAATGACATAAGATGAATTGAAATAGAATGAAATGAAATAAATGGTTTGAAATGAAAATGAAATGAAATGAAAATGAAATGGAATGAAATGAATTCCATTTGCGCCGCGGTGTTCAGGTGTATAGACATCTCGTGGACGCCGCTTGCCGCCTCGCTTTCTCCTTCGAAGTTAATTTGTGGCCACTTCGAAGTGGTTTTTGGAAATGAAGAAGATAAAAAGGAAAATAAAAGAGAAAATGAAGAACTGGAAAAAGAATTGAAAAAAGAAACGCAAAGTTGCTTGCTAGTTCGAGCACGCGGCTTGAATGCGGCTGAAACTCGACAGAGTTGAAACCAGTTCTTCTTTTGAAAACGAAAAAGTGCAAATTTTTCTTTTGAAAGTTATTTGAATGTGAAGTGTTCTTTGAAAACAATTTAAATGTCAATTGTTCTTCGCAAGTAAATCCTTTTCAGCCACTAGGACTTCAGCGGCTAACAAACTGCAGTGCAGCAGCAGCAGCAGCAGCAGCTGCTGCTGCTGTCCCATTTTTGTACATTTTGTACCCCGGCTTCTTTATTGTGCTGCTGCCGCCGGTTTATTTATTTTGCTGCTGCTGCTGGTTTATTTATTTTGCTGCTGCCGCTGGTTTATTTACTTTGCTGCTGCTGCCGGTTTACTTACTTTGCTGCTAATGCCCGCTTACTTATTTTGCTGCTGCTCCCAGTTCACCTACTTTGCTGCTGCTGCCGGTTTATTTATTTCGCTGCTGCTCCCAGTTCGTCTATTTTGCTGCTGCTGCCGGCTTACTTATTTTGCTGCTGCTACCCTGCTGCTGCTCCCAGCTTATCTATTTTGCTGCCGCAGCTGCTGCTGCAGCAGCAGCAAGTTAGTCGGCTGCTGGCTGGGAGACAAAGCAATTAGAGAATTTGAAAACGAGCTGAGGAATTAAATGGAGTTAAGAGTTAATTGAATTGCACTTAATTCCCCTTTTGTTTATTCAAAACAAAACATGCAATTAAATTAAATTCAAAAAGAACTTTCTGAATTGAATTGCATGTTTCGTTCAAACGGCATTTTGAATTCAATTCAACTTCAGTTTGGAGTACTTTTGAATGTAATTCAATTCGACTTTATTTTGGAACACTTTTGAATTCAATTCAACTTCACTTCGAAATGACTTTGAATTAAATTCAACTTCTGGTTTGAACGGCATTCCGAGTTGAACTCCACTTCCGATTTCGAACGGCTTTCCGAATTGAATTCAACTAATTTTCAGTATTTCTGAATTGAATTCGACTAATTGTGCAGAGTTTTCTGAATGCAGTTGACTGGTTTGCAGCTCCTTCGGAATTAAATTCAACTTTCCACTTTTTGCATGCGCTTGCCGAGCTTGGCGCGCACCGCCTGCGCGCGCTGCTTGCGCGCCACCATCAACTTGAACCGCTCGAAGTCCGTCAGCGCAGCCCTGCGCTGCTTCGCAATTCTTTTTCTTCCCCAAGAACTCTCGTTGAACTTTTTAATTACATCATCTTTTTCCAGCGCTTTGCGCAAAGTCACGCTGCGCACGCCGTGCGGGATCTTGAGCCGCATGTCCGTGAGCGCCACCCGCCGGATCGGAATCGACTGCCGACGCACTCTGAAGCCAAGTCGCACCGCAAACGAGCGATCAAATGCAAAAATCAAGCAATTAAATGCAAACGCCAACCAGTTTCGCCTTTACTTCACTCTTCTACGCAAAAATTCAACCACTTCCGTCTTTGTTCAACTTTTCGACGCTGCATAATGGAGCAATTCCGAAAAAACGGGAAATTCTGCACAGTTTTGATGCAAATTCGCAAACAAACGCCTCAGACCTGCTCAGCTTCGTTCAAGTTGTGGCCTAGTTTTGTCTTAGTTGAAACTCCTCGCGGATCTGCCGCGAATCTTACCCAGTGACGTTGGCGCCATCCACGAGGATTCTGTTGCCATTGATGATGTCCACAACAAAGCAGAGCTGCAGCGGAAAAGCGCAAAATGCGGAACTTCTAATGCAAAACAAAAAGAATAATCTTTAAATTCAAACGCACACATTCACAAAGTCCGCGGCGGCAGAGCTGGAGCCAAAAATACTCCATTTTCGTTCAGTTTCAAACGGCTAACGACGGAGTCCAGCATGCTGCCACACTGCTGCGGAGATGTACCCACAGCGCGAAAACAAACTGCAGCCTTCAGAGCTCCACTAATTTCAATTTCAATTTTAATTTCAAATTCAAGGATTAATGAGCAATTAGAGGGGAAAACGGAGGAACACAACGCCACTGGCCCTCCCCAGCCCCCACACTCGCGCGCGCAAAAAAGGCTGCAGCGAGCCTGTGAAGGCGAAACATGGGCGAAATCATGTTGGAAAAATAAAAAGAGTTAATTTAAAAAGAATATAAAGGGAAAAGACCAAGGACTTGGCGCTGCTGACCTTGCCCTCATCAGGCCCATACTGCACAACGCACAGCCGGCCAGGCTCGATGAACCTCCTGAACAGCGCCATTTTAACTGCTTTGTTTTCAATTATTTCCCTTTCCTAAAATGCGCGCCTCCGGCAGTTTTTAATTCTGCATGTTTCCCAACTCTCCCCGGAGATCAGCAGCACCAGCCCGCGCCTCCCCCCATCGCATGCGCGACGAAGATCGCCAACATGCAGCCCCAGAAACAATTCAAGAAAGCCCCACTTGGCTCCAATTTTTGCATCTATTTTTCAAATTAAAAAACAACTAAAACTGTATAAACATTGCCTCTCTATCACGGTAAAGGTGTGGCTTGGAAGCAATACCTTTCGGCCCAACTGTGGTGTTTTCGTGGAACGCGAACACACCCTGCCTGCAGGGCGAAACTTGAATTTTCGTAGCACTTTTGCTGCTAATTACATTAAAACTTGTTCAGATTTCTCATATTTTTGTTTATCGGCAAGTGCTTTGCAAGATCTGCAATGATTCTGTCGATTCAGCCTAGCCGCCACAACAAGATTGGATCCAAGATGGGTATACGCCCTAGCAGATCCATTCCGAACGTTACAACTAGAAGAATTGCTTCTTCTCTTGTCCTTCTGTTTTTGTGTGGATTGAAGTGCTAAATGGTATTCATTTGAGAGTGCTAAGGAGCCCTGAATCACCAAATATGGGGAAAAGTTAGGGAAAAATTGAACAATTTTGTCAGTTAGTAAGGCCACCAGGGCCACAATAAGAAGTATTTCCCTACTCTAATATAGACTTAGCAAGGCTGCATATGTAAAGCAACGACGGAACACGGGACTTCGTCATACTTTACAGATCTAGCCAAAGAATGCATGCACTCAGTATTGTGCTTTCAACATAATAATGCATTTCTATGTTTCCTCAGTAGTTGCGCGTTCAAGAATTAAAGCATGTCCTATATTTATAAAGGGCTTACTTGCGTTTTCTTCTTTTTGAAAATAGAATATTGCCTGCCGGTGTATTCTGCCACATGAACGGGAGAATGTGATGTTGAATAAATATGGAAATGCTGAAAATGAGAAATGTAAATCAAACTTGGAGTTCTTATTCGAAACGTGGACAAGAAAGAGTTCTCATTCATTAAATTACGTTTAAAAGAATACATTTTTGCACAAAATTGTTGCAAGTTGTTTGCAAGTTGTTTGCAGCGGGGCAACTGCTGCTGTGCTGCATGCTTTCTGCAAGAAACCTGAAAGTAAATAATGAATTCAAATATATCAACCACTAAATATGAACTCAAAGTGTCTCAGGCGCTAAGTATGATGCCTTTCAATTAAGTCTACGAAGTTCCAGATTCGAACAGCCAGAGCTCACGAATTTCTCGAGGATTCATCTCTTAGTCGTTTATATTTTAAGTTAAATAATTACTTCAATTACTTTATTTGAATAAAATTTGATGAAGTAAAAAGATGAATCTTTCACCTTCCCTTTCTTCCCATTCACCTTTTTGCCTGTTCAAGTCCCATTCACTGAAGCAGTTCGAAACAAAGAAGTAAACATTTAAACACTGAATAAAACATTTAACAACAGAATAAAACATTTAACAGCAGAATAAAACATTTAGCAGAACAAAAGACTCAACAAAGCTGCCTCGTCACAGAGTTAGGCGCACAAAAGTCCGTCAAGTTGCAGAGAAACTGCATGCAAAAGATGAAATTCAGGACTTGGTATATGTATATAAACTCTGAGTCAAAATGTATAAAGACTGTTTGACTTCTTCAGCCACTTATTAGCAGCAAATTGATGGGAGAAAGTGCAGAATAAGACAAAGTCTTTAGCGCTTCGAGTTGGACTTGCTGCAGCAGACAGCAGCAGCCTGTGCTGCAGTGAAGCAGCTACACCCAGAAATGTGAAATGCGTGAGGCAGCGAACTCGAGTGCATGCAAGCCAAGCCCCGCGAGCAAAGACAATAAGATCTCTTTGGCTGCAATTGTATTAAGAATTGCAGCTCGAAGGGAAAGTTTGAAAACAGATTATGCAGAAGTTGCTGCGGCTGCGAAGAAAGTGCTTTCTGCTGCAGTGCTGCGCAGCGGCTCCTTCCGCGGGGACTGGGAGCGGATTCGCAGTTGGCTTTCGCCGATCTCCGCAACGAATTCGCTAAATAGAATTAATTAAACGTTTTAATTGGATTTTGGGGGTCGAAATTGAAGCCGGAGGAGCTCGAGAGGCCTGATGGGCGTTGGAGCTTTCTGCACGCAGCTGCAGCCCGGCGATCTGCTGCGTGTTCGTGAATTTGCAGTGGCTCGCGCGGCGCGGCGGGCGCTGGAGCTCCGAAACTTCAGTGTCATTCAATAAATTCCCTCAAATAGTATTTGCTGTTCTCTTTGTGCCTGCATGGGGGCTCGAGTTTAAAGAATCGGCGGCGGCGACGGGCTGATCTGGGTGGCGCCGGCAGGGAGCTGCGCAAGCCGCGCGGACGTGGCTTTTCCGCGGCTCTTTTCGCGAACTGCCGCGCATGGCTTTTGTATTTGTCTTTTTTGAGGTTTTTAGACCAAAACTGGGCCGAAGTTCGTGGCGAAAGGGGCTGTCGGGGTGAGCACACAGTCGGCGGCGCCGGCGGGCAGCCTCGGCGTCCGGGTGTCTGTACACCGCAGTGCCGCGCGCGCGCTTCGCGATTTCGGGACATCGCGGACACAATTTTGGGCTTCGGTTTCCGCAGCGGTTCTGGCCGCGAGTTTCGCCGCCGCGAAGCCGCAAGCAAGCCGCAGGCGCGCAGCTGGTCCGCAGCAGCAGCAGCAGCAGCAGCAGGAAAGATGGCGCCGGCGCTGCAGCGGTGGTCGGTGGTGCACGACGCGCTGAACTACTCGACGGCCGTGTTCTGGCTGCTGGCGTACGGGGCCGTGCTGCAGAAAGTGCACCGGGAGCGCAGCGCGTGCGGGCTTTCTTTCCAAACGCTGTTTGCACTCGTGGTGGTGGAAGTGAGCAACGTGCTGCTGATCCTGAGCCTGCTGGCCTTCCACGGCAAGCCCTTCCACCTGGACTTTTTCCTGGTGGACTGCACTTCGGCGCTGGTGTCCATTTGGGCCTTCGTGCACCTTTTCCGGAACTTCCGGGCCTCTTACGAGAAGCAGCGGGACAGCTTTGGCCAGAAGTACCTGCGGCTGCTGCGGCTGCCCTCCTGCGGCGCCTCGGGGCACCTCTTTTTCCTTTATTTGCTGTCTTTCGTGTTGTCTTTTTCCATGTTTTTGCTGCGGCGTTCGCCGCACGCGCCGTCGCTGGGCGAAGTGGCCCGCAGCAGCAGCAGCAGCAGACTTGCTGTCGGTTTGCTGCTGTCGCTCTGGGAGTGCTTCAACGACAGCGTCTTGGCCCTGGCGCTGCTGCCGCAGCTCCAGATGTTCTACAGCAAACGGCCCCGCAAAGTTTCCAATCTGCTCGGCACTTTTGTGGCGATGCTTTTCTGCGCCAGAGTCCTCGCGTTCCTCTACTGGTCAGCTGTACATACACCCCGCGAGGGCTCGACGCAGCGCGCGTTCCACTTCTTCTGCTTTTGCTTTTCCTCCAGCTTTCTTTTCTTTCTTCTCTTTACATCTCTTTTTCGCGTCTTGCATGCAGTTGCGGCGGGCTGCAGCAGCTGTGCACACGCACGCGGTGTACGTACAGTGCAGTTGCATGCGCCTGTTCGGGTGGCGTCCACTTGGAGCTGATGGAAAGCGCCGTTTCACCTCATTCAGTTTACTTAATTTAATTCAATTAATTCAATTAATTTTATTAATTTAATTACATTTAACTAATTTAGTTTAGTTTTTTCGACTTATTCCGCTTGATTTGCTTCCGTCGCCTTGTATTGCGTCGCAGGCTCTCCTTCCCGCTCTTCCACCGCAGCCAGCCCACCGGCCGCGGCATTCACCTCGCCACTGAGGCTCTTAACATTTTAATTTTGTTGGACTTTTTGTATTATTACGTGAAGGCCAAACTGGCCGGCCAGGAGGACATTGCCTTGCCCATTTGAACGCCGAAACACCCCATGCATGCGCCACGCATGCATTTGCGTGCATGCGTGCATGCAGTGGGCGCTGCAGAAGTGTGGAATTGTGAACCTTGTGTTGATTGGATCTGAAATGAACTGTCAGTCTTTTGCTGGCTGAGTTGGGCGCAGCAGAGACGGGCGAAATGCGTTTCAAGTGCTGCGGTGTACGTACACCCGAGCGGGGCGGCCCCACAGATCCGCACTCCGAAACAAACTGTCCAGCCTCCAGTGGAAATCATTTCTTTTGTTTTGCACTTTCGACAAGGACAGCCAGACGCGCGGACACTTCGCCGCCTGCGGGGAACTTGAAGGTCTTTCAAATTGTGATTTCACGATGCGCTGTACATACACTCCAACTACACTTCAAAGGCACTTTTAAGGCACTTTAAATGCACTTTCGATAAATTTACTTTTGATGCACTCTAGATACACTTTAGATGGATACTTCAGATGCACTGTAGATACACTTTACACTCACCGTAGATACACTTCAGATACGCTTTAGACACACTCTTGATAGATAACTAAAGTTCACTTTACATACACTTCAGATGCACTTTTGGTACACTTTAATTACACTTTAAATACATTTTAAATACAGTTTGAATACATTTTAAATGCATTTTTAATGCATTTTAAATGCAGTTTAGATTCGGGATTTTATTTTACTTCCGAGACACTTCGCCCGAGCCTCCCCCCACCTAGGCGGCGGGAAGGACCCGCGGGCGAAGGCTGCAGTTGGGAGTCTATTTTGAATTATTTTAAAAATAAAATAAAATAGTATTATAAACTAATTTAAAAGTAAAAATAATTCAAATTGTGAGGAAAGCGGCGGTCAGCAGCTGCTGAGTGACGCGAGTGACTGAGACGATCCGAAACTTGAACGGAGCAGCCGGGGGGAGCTGCAGGGGGCCTCAAATCGAAAGCTGCAAAGACTTTTGCAAACTTTGAGCGATTATAAATATAAAAAAAAGAAAAGTGAGTTAAAATTGAAGAAAAATATAGAAGAATTCTGCGGTGTCGCGCGGCCGACGGGTACCGACGACGGACTGCATGCGCGGCTCTGTTGGAGTGTACAGACAGCGGCGGAACGCACAAAGTGTCTTTTTGAATTTAAATGTGCTTTTGAGGCTTCAGTTTGTCCCCAAGTGGAATGCTTCGCGTCGAGGGGCAAATCTTTTTTCCTTTTTTCCACTTTTGCTGCAACTTCGCGGGCAAAGATGGCGGCCAGTCCGCGAAACTCGCCCTGGCTTTCCCTGCTGCTCCTCTTGGGGCCATTTTTTAACTTCGGCGCCGCCCCAGCCGCCTCTCTAGTCCCTGGAATGGGCCCTACGGTAACACCGCACTCCCCAGGGGCCCCCCAGCCAGCTGGCCCACAGAATGGCCCGCGGGCTCAGCCCCAAGGGGCCTCTAAGGGGCCCCTCAAGGGGCCCCCAGGGTTCCTTCGGGGGCCTCCTGTGTGGCCCTGGGGGCCCCCCAGGGGCCCCAGAGTGGCTCAGCTGGGGGCCTTAAAGCAGCTTTCAAAAGCGAAATTTCACGAGACCGAAATACCACTAAAAGCAAAATTTCACTAAGACCGAAATATCACTAAGACCGAAGTATCACGAAGACAGAAATTCCACTCAGTGAAATTTGGCTGAGTGCAAAATACCCCAACTCGTGAAATATGACGAAGACCTTTTTGCTGTGCTGCGTGCTGTTTGTATGACTACTCAAGCGAAATTCCACGAAGTTCAAAATGCCACTAAGTTCAAAACATCACAAAGTTCAAAACATCGAAATATGGCTGAGACCTTTTTGCTGCATGCATTACGTGCTGCTGAGAACAATCTAAGCGAAATAGCACGAAGTCCAAACTCTCTGAAACTCCCAACTCGTAGAAGCAAAAACCATGAAAATGCGGCTAAGTCCTTTTCGCTGCATGCACTATATACCTGCGGCAGTGAAACTGAAATATGCCTAAGTCCAAACCCTTGGAAGCAAAAAACATGAAAATGCGGCTAAGTCCTTTTTGCTGCACTTGCTGCTGCTGCAGGACTACGCAGAGGGCCAGCGCGTGGCCGTGCAGATTTCTTCGCTGCAGTCCGTCCAGGGCATTTTGCCCGTAGACCCTTTTGGCCCCAACCTGCCTTTCTGCCGGTGAGACCGCCAAGTAAGAAGTGCTGCGTGCCGCATGCATGCGCGCATGCATGCATGCATGCATGCATGCATGCATGCATGCGTGCATGCACGCGTGCATGCGTGCATGCGTGCGTGCATGCATGCGTGCATGCGTGCGTGCATGCGTGCGTGCATGCGTGCGTGCATGCATGCGTGCGTGCATGCATGCGTGCGTGCATGTGTGCGTGCGTGCGTGCATGCGTGCATGCATGCGCTACTCTTTGCCTCTCTTCTGCATGCATGCTTGCATGCATGCATGCACCTTCTTTTGCATGCATGCATGCGTTCCTCTTTGCCTGCTTTTTTATCTGTGCATTGAATTATCCATTTCTGGGCGTTTTTGCGTCTTTTTCTCCGTTTTCGTTCGTTTTTGTTGCCAAATGTACTTCTGAATTGGCCCATTTGATTCGTTTTGTTTTATTTGTTTCTCCAGCCCGCAAACAACAGAAATTGAAGAAAACAATTTGGGCCAAATGCTGATGGCAGATCGGGTGCAGAATTCTTTGTACGAGGTGGGCTGTTGTGTCTTGTTGAAAGTTGTGCGAGTTCGCGGGATTGTTGAATTTCTTTTTTCTCTTTTCTTTTTTAAATGCTTCTGCTGCTGCTGCTGCTTCTAAAATGTCCTTTAGGTCTACTTTTTAAAGAACTCTTCTTGCAAAACCCTCTGCAAAGATGTGCCTCTTACTGAAGACATCAAGCAGCAGCTGCAGCGGCTCGTCAGGGACAAATACATGTTCCACGTGTACGTACACCCCACCGCCCCTCGCCACTCTCTTTTGCACGCAAAATTGCATGCAAACTGCATGCAAAGTGCATGCAACTTGCATGCAAAATTGCATGCACTTTGCTTGCAATTTTGCACGCATGTTGCATGCGAAATTGCACGCAGATTCAGTCTAGTGTGCCCGTTTCGTGCGACTGGGGTGTACGTACACCTGAGAGTGCGCGCCGGCCGCAGCTCCCGTTGCATGCGCAGCAGCAGAGTGACCAGTGGACCACTTGGAGCCCTTTTGAGTTTCTGATGCAAACCAAGTCCATTTTCTGGAACTTGCTGCAGTTTGCGTCCCAGTGTGCCTTCGAAGGCGCATGCAAGTGCCTGCGCGCTGCGCAAAGCCCCACCTGCCGCTGCTGCTGCTGCTGCTGCTGCTGCTGCTGCGGCCTGCAGGCTGGTGGACCAGCTCTACGCGCTGCAGCTGGTCCACCGCACCAATGGGACCAGTGGTTACACCATTGGTGTCCCCGTCGGCTTCGAGCGCGAGGGCCGCATTTTCGTTTATAACCACTACAGAATAATTCTCCACTACCACGCCGACGCGGAGGACGCCAAGCCAGCCGTGAGGCCTCGGCGCGCAGCTAGCTAGCTAGCTGGCTAGCTGGCTGGCTGGCCGGCTAGCTAGGTGGCTAGCTAGCTAGCTGGCTAGCTAGCTAGCTGGCTGGCTAGCTAGGTGGCTGGCTAGCTAGGTGGCTGGCTAGCTAGGTGGCTGGCTAGCTGGGTGGCTAGCTAGCTGGGTGGCTAGCTAGCTGGGTGGCTAGCTAGCTGGGTGGCTAGCTAGCTGGGTGGCTAGCTAGCTGGGTGGCTAGCTAGCTGGGTGGCTAGCTAGCTAGCTAGGTGGCTAGCTAGCTGCGCAGCTGGGTGTGCAGCCACTTGTATGGCTGGCTGCGCGCGCAGCTAGCTGCGGCGCAGCTAGCTGTGCGAATGGCCACGCAACAAGCTAGCTAGCTAGCTAGCTGTCTATGGAGCGAGCTAGCCAGCTAGCTAGCTAGCTATCTATGGGGCGAGCGAGCTAGCTAGCTAGCTAAAGACCTAGCCATCTAGCTAGCTAGCTAGCTGTGGCCGAGGTAGGTGGGGCGAGCTGGAGTGTTTGTGTGGTTTGTTTGTTTCGAGCAGAGACTGTTTAAACTGCCGTGGGATTCCGGGACTCCTCACTACCGAATAGTTCGTTTGGAAATAGTTCCGGTGTCTGTACAGCACGAGTTGGACGAGGCGGGGAACTTGCTGTGCGGGCTGCAGGGCGGGGAGCAGCAGCAGCAGCAGCAGCAGCAGCAGCAGCAGCAGGAGGGGGGCAGCGGGGACTCGAGTTCGATTCCTTTTTCTTCGTTTCCAGCGTTCAGCTTCAAAGCCGACGACGAAGTGGACTCTGCAGACATCAGCGAGACCGGCCCGGACCCCCTTTACTTGAGTTTTTCTTACGACGTGGTTTTCCGGCCAAGTCCGATTCAGTGGAGCGAACGCTGGGACATTTACTTGGCGAACGCGCGGGACCGGCCGCTGATCCACTGGTTCTCAATAGTGAATTCGCTGGTGGTTTTGCTGCTGCTGTCGGCCCTTGTGGCCATGATCTTGCTGCGCGTGCTGTACCGGGACATCAGCCGCTACAACGACCTCCTCGCGGACGAGGAAGACGCCGAGGAAAAGGGCTGGAAACTTCTCCACGGAGATGTTTTCCGAAAACCTGCACATTCAACTGTTCTTGCGGCGCTCACGGGGTCCGGAATGCAGGTGATTCCGCTGCTGCTGCAGGTCGCGGGCCGCCGCCCGCGCCCCCGCCAAACTTGAATTCCCACGGAAACCTGCGCAAAAAGAAAGCTTTCTTCCCCGAAAAACACTCTTTTGCAAATTGTTTTCCCTGCAGCTGGTCGGAATGGCTTTTGTTACCGTCATTTTTGCGGGTTTGGGCGTTTTCTCGCCCGCGTTTCGCGGCAGTTTGCTCCAGGTACGCAGGTGTACGTACACCTCAAACGCCGGCCTACTGCAGTGGCTCGCCTCCTCAGGCTCTCTGACTGCACTTTTAATTGCGACTCTGCCGGCGACTTGTTGCCGTTTTGAGTTCTTTTTCCATTTTAGAAAAGACCTGCTGCGACTTGTGCCCCAGACCATGCTGATCCTCTGGACCGTCATGGGGGCGGTCGCTGGGTACACTTCGGCAAGGATGTACAAGCTCTTCAAGGTTCGTCTCAGCTGCCTCCCTCAGTTTGATTGTATTCAATATGCTTTTCCTGAATTGAGTTTTATTGAGTTTAGTTTAATTGCTTTAACTGAACTGCGTTTCAAAAGCAACTTGAAGTGCTTTCCCTGCGGACACAAGACAGAAGCAAGTCTGCCGACCCTCACGAACTGGAACATGCATCAAAATGGAGGAAATTCGCTGCCGCACACTCTCTGCAGGACTTGGCGTGCAGAGCGCGTCTGCAGAGTGTCTCAAAGCCGAAGCGGCAGTCCTTTGCGTCGTGGCTGCGCTGCTGCGCCGCAGTCCGTGAACTGGAAACTGACCACGATCCGCACTGCGCTGGTCTTCCCCGGAGTGGTCTTTTCTGTCTTCTTCTTCATGAATGTTCTTCTTTGGGCCCAGCAATCTTCAGCGGCCGTCAGCTTCGCCGGCCTTCTCGCCCTCCTGGCCCTTTGGTTCGGCATCAGCATTCCCCTCGTCTTTCTGGTGCGCCCCAGCGCTCTGCACTTTCGTCTCTTTCGCAAGTCTCTTCAAGTTTGTATTTATGTATATTACCATGTCTATATATATAGGTATATACATATATGTATATGTATATACCTATATATATACATATATATATATATATATATATATATATGGATGCATGTATGTGAGTACTATACATAAGCTACTTGTAGAGGCATTATATATGTATATATATTATATGTACATGTATATATATATGTGTATATATATGTATACTTGCAGAGGCATATATATATATATATATGTTACATATATATATCTATATATGTAACATATATATACACATATATATATTGGTGTTAGATAAAGGTAAAATGTGGAAAAGAATATTCGAAGTAAAGGCGAGAGTGGGTAGCTTAGTCTGAAGTGTATGGACACTGGAGGAGGGGGCGTGTGGCTGGCAGCAGCAGCAGCAGCTGTTGCTTTGCTGCACTTTTTTCGCTGGCAGCAGCAGCAGCAGCAGCTTTGCTGCGCCGTTTTGTTTGTTCAGGGCGCCTACTGCGGCTTCAAACAGCCCGCAATTTCCATTCCTGTTCGCATCAACAAAATCCCAAGACAAGTCCCGCAGCAGCCCTGGTTCATGCACCCAGTCTTGTGCTCCTTAGTGGGCGGGGCCCTTCCCTTTGGGTGAGCAGCAGCAGCAGCAGCAGCAGCAGCTACAGCTGCAGCAGCAGTTGCAGCAGCGGCTGCAGCAGAAGCCGCACAGACGGGAGAAGTAGCCTTTTTTGGATGCAGCAATTAGTGTAGACATCCATAGTGGCAGCTTAATCACATTTGTAAATGTGCGTTTGAAATAAAATTTGAATTTGACTTGCGCTGGGGTGTATGTACACTGGGGTGTATGTACACTGGGGTGCCTGTGCGTTGGGGTGTATGTACACCTCGCTGCGCTTTCAGGGCGATGCTCACTGAGCTGTTCTTTCTTTTTTCTTGCATATGGCAGCATCGTTTCTACTATCTCTTTGGTACGCAGCAGTTTGCATAATTACTTTATTTACTTTTGCTTTTCTATTTGTTTCCAATGAATGGCCGTGTGAAAGAAGACTGAACTCTGCTGCTGCTGCTGCGGCTGCAAAGAATGAGATGTTCATTATGTTACATTTATAATTATGTTTCTGCTATTTGCCATTCTAACTGGCATTGTTATTGCATGCAAGCACGAACTGCAAGGTGTAGCCACAGCAGATGTTTGCGGTTTTGGAAAGCAAACAAAAAGTTGGAAACAAATTTCATATAATTAAAGCACCTTTGTTGTGGCCTGCATGCGCCGCGTGTCTGCTGTTTGCTGCAGGCTTTTTGTTTCTGGTTTTGATAATTTTGTGTGTCACTTGTGCTGAGATCTCCATCACTTTTGTTTACTTCCAGCTGGTGTGGTGAGTTATTAAGAGTCCGAACTTGCAGTTCCGTGGCAGCAGCAGACGAGTCCTTGGCGAGGACCACGCCGCCGCAGCAGCAGCACGCGTGCTGCTGCTGCGGCTTCGTCTGACGCCGCCGCTGCTGCTGCTGCTGCTGCTGCTGCTGCTGCTGCGTGCAGCGAAAACTACAACTGGTGGTGGCGCTCGTTCCTGTGCAGCGCCACCAGCGGGGTGTACGTGATGCTGTACGCCATTTACTACTTCCACTCGCGCTTGAGTTTGTCCCACACTACTGGCACTTTAGTTTATTTCGGATATTCTTTCATCATGGCCTACGCCTGCTTCATCCTCACAGGTACTGCCAGCCTCGACTCTGTGCAGAAAGCTGTTCAAAAGTGGCTTCAAACTTCCATCTTTCAAGTATACTTTGAAGCGTCTTTATGTTTAAAAGTATATTTAAAAGGTTCATCTTTAAAGTACATTAAAAGCATCTTCAGGATTTTCATCTTTGATGTATATTTAAAGGTATACTTAAAAGGTTCATCTTTAAAGTATATTAAAAGCATCTTTAAAGTGTATTTAAAAGTATATTTAAAATTTTCATTTTAGTAAATCTAGAAAAATATTATCTAAAAATTTTGCAGCTTTTCTGGCTAAGTGCGAAGCTGGTTGCTTGTTGAAACATTTAATTTGAAGTTCCAGAATAAGTTTTTATCTTTTTAATTGGACTTTTGATATTTTGTTTGCAGGCGCTGTTGGGTTCATGGCTTCGTTTTTCTTCCTTCGGAAGATATATTCTTCAATTAAAGTTGACTGAAGCAGCAGCAGCAGCAACAGCAGCAGCAGCAGCAGGAGCTGCAGCAGCAGCTGTGCTGCTTCGAGCCACGAGACAGCAGCTGCAGCGGAAGCTGCAGCAAAAGGGCTGTTTGCAGCGAAATAAATAAAGGAATTTGTTTTCCTGATATTCATTCTTGAGAAGTGAAATGAAAACGGCGAAGTCGGGAAGAAGTCGCTGGGCTGTACAGACACATCCCCTCAGTGAACAGAGTCCAGAATAAAACATTTAAAGTTCGACAAAAGTTTTAAAATATAACTTGAGTTCAAACAATTGGGATTTGTGTCCAGCAGAAGAATCGGGCGCGAGATGTCGACCTGTCGACCCCTTTGCAGCACTTAATCGTCCACAGCAGCAGCAGCAGCAGCAGCAGCAGCAGCAGCAGCAGCAGCACCTGTCTTGTCCCAGCCATCGGGTCTGCGTCGCGCACAGCATGAGGCATGCACGAAACAGTGCAGCGGGGGAACAGCAACGGCAGCAGCAGCAGCAGCAGCAGCAGCACAGACTGGCGGAGCTTACAAGTCGAGCAGCTGGTCGATTTGGTCTTCTGGAACTCCGAGGCGGCTTCTGGTGAACTGGCCTAACGTGATCAATGATTGAATTGAATAAAATAAATAAAATAAATAAAATAAATGGAAAGGTTTTGCATCTTGAAAAGCCCACGAATGATAAATATGTTGTCTGTCCAGCGGTCTGTGGCTGCGCGGGCAAACGAAATCTCCTGCTGCAGCTGCTGGAACTGCAGCGGGTCGCAGCAAGAAGCAGCACGAGCCTCTTCTTGCAGCAGTCGAAGTTTCTTTTCGAGTTGATCTGCTTCGGCGAGGAGGGCCTCTGCTGCTGCTGCCTGTTGCAGCAGCAGCAGCAGCTGCAGCGGCGCTGCGGAGGCGAACTCGAGTTGCAACTCACTGCAGAAGCCAGGGACTCCAGATCTGCTGCTGGGGCCTGCAGGGCCAGCAGCTTCGCCTTTTGTTCTCTGAAGGCTGCGCGTGATTGCTGCTGCTGCAGCAGCAGCAGCAACGAATAGCCCACCTCAGGCTTCGCAGCTCCGCGTCTTGCTGAGCGAAAGCTTGGCTCTTAAGTGCCCTGACGGACTATTGAAATAAATGAACTTCTTAGTTGTTTCAAAATGCAAAAACTGCGCTCGATGCGGGCAGTGGGGCGGCACTGGGATTACCAAAAGACTGAAGAAGCGGCGACCTTGTCGGTTTGAACAAGATTTTCGTCGAGCAGCATTTTGACCGCGTCTTCGCGGAAGTTTCAATTTCATTCGTGACCAAAGAAGAAAAATTATGATCCAATTTAATTTTGAAAAGACAGAAGGGCTGACCTTTCGCTTGCATGCTTCTGTAACCTGCTTTTTCCGCCAGTTTCTCGATTTCCTTCGACCCGAAGAAAGAATCGGAATCCAGCACGAGCTTGTGCAGCACGCGGAGCTTGTCCTCTGAAGTCTGCTTTGGTTTCACCATTTTCGTGAAAGTTTTATTGGAAATTGCAAGTAGGGGGTAGTTGCCAAACAGAACAGCGTGGGTACGTGTTTGCACTGGCAGCTGACGGAAGCAGCAGCTCCAGCGTGAGCTTCCCTGCGGTATGCAGACACTTGCAGCTTCCTGCTGCAGCTCAGCTACGAAGGACCAATTAAAACCTATTCACCAAAAATTGTGGAGTAGACAAAAGAGTTTTTCGCTTCACGGAGTTGTGAAGCAACGGCGCTGCACACTCAGCTAAGCCCAGCAGCTCGTGCTGCCGCAACAACGGCTGCAGCAAGTACTTGCAGAAGCTGCTCAGCATTTAAAAGGCAAGAATTATATATTTATATATTCCGAAAGCCAACTGACTTGCTGGGCAGCAGGCTCTAATGCTTATTCAGCGGACTCGCTGATGATCAAGGCCGAGAAAATATTGCACAGAAAAAGCCGTCCATCCCATGTGAGGTCGGAAGTGAGTGGAACGGCGGTTCTGTCAACACCAGACCATGTTTTTGACAGAAGAATTTAGCCTGAAATGCCATTAAAGAAAGACAAACGCGGGAATAAGTGTGTTTGCCATGTACTTATCCCTAAGTACATGTTTTTCTTCTGGCCGAGACGATGCTCTGCGCGCTGCTAACTACGGAAACTCCATTAATAAGTGAATACCTGGTGAACGTTTTCCTCGTCCAAGATGCTGCAAGTGATGTAAACGATTTTCCCTGTCTTCGGCTTCGCATATTGAAGGGCGCTGCTGAAGATGTGCCGTTGCAGTGCAACGAAGTCCATGAGCTGCATTTGCAAGTCGCACGTGCAGAACAGCGAGTCAACCAGGCGAAAGCTAGTTTATAAACAAAAAGTGCGCACTTATTTACGTAAAGCATGCATTTAAAAAGCATGTTAAGTGCGAGTTTCAAAGACCCTCCACCAGCCGCACCTTCTCGTCCTTATATTTCCACTTCATTTCAGGATTTCGCCGCAGGGCGCCCGTCCCGGAACAAGGAACATCACAGACAACCTGCACAGAACGTCGCACAAAGTGTGAATAGATAAAGCAGAATTAGAAAAAAGACAAAACTGTTGCAAGTTTCACGTTGGGCTGCATGAACAGAAAGGAATAGTGCAGAGAAAGCTGGTGACAGCAGCAGCAGCGCCAACCCCCGCACCCAGTCCATTGCCCCAAGAAGTTTGGACAGAGTGGGGTTTCCCGGCTCGACAATGGTGTAGTTTGTAATTCCCGCTCTTTTGAGCCTCTTCTTCGCCTCCTGCAGCATGCGTTCCCGCACGTCGTGCAAGTAGATCTTCCCCTTGTTCATCATTTGCGGGCCAAATGCCAAACTCTTTCCTCCACTGCCTGCGCAGTAGTCCAAAACTTTGTCGCCGGGCTTTACCTGAAAGTCAAAAAGACAATCAAAGCCCTCCACCGGAACTACCACCTCGTGCTAAGTGGAGGAAGCCACACACAATATGCCAATTTTAATTTACGAAGTTCCCAAGCCTCTTCGAGAAAGAAAACAAGCATTAAGGCAACTTATGGAACTATATTTGATGAATATCCTTTTCTTTATTGTGAAGTGGAAACTCACTTCAACTTTAAGAGCTGCCAGCTGACTGGCCTCATCCTGGATCTCGAAATACCCCCTGTGGAACTCTGGCAAATCCCCAAGACGTTGGCGCTGGGGAAGAACCAACGCGTAAGGGGAATTGGGGCTTTTTTCCACAGCTATGCCTGCAGCACCCCGCAGCAGCAGCAGCAGCAGCAGCAGAAACGTAGGATCAAACTCATTCAGTACGAAAAATACTTTGATGAAACAGACTACATTCAAGATGCAGCACTCAACATGCAACTTTTTGCTTCTCTACTGTGGTGGTGTGTCGCTGCTGCTTCGAAAAGACTTGCCCTTGTTCAAAAGGTAGTTGTAAAGGCGGTCGCGAGTTATGGCCAGAGTGTTCGTCCGCAGGTAAGTGGGGGCCTCTTCGTTCAGCGTGTTGCAAATATGAATGGCTTTGGCAGTGCCGTAGGCGTTTTGAATGCGATTGAATAAATCGGGAGGGAAAGAAGTTCGCGTTGAAGGCGGGAGTTTCTCATTTTGTGTCTGGAGCTTCCATCTGAAGAGAGAATTCAAGTGTTCAGTGAAGACCCTGAAACGAGGTGTGAGTCTTCAGAGTTCAGAAGAACGAAACATTCAATTACAATTCCAAATAAACGCTGAAGTGCGAATTACCTGTCCGAGACGAAGTAAGTGCGGATCCGGCTGGACCAAGAAGCTGGCGGCGGGGTCACGTGGTCAAGGAGTCCTTTCCACTTGACGATCTGGTAGATGTGCTGCGTAATGAACTTCTTGTCTTGGCTGCCGACGCTCTTGTTGCATTTGTAGTAGTGCCGCAAGAACAAATCCAGAGGGAGGTGGCCAGTGGTGTGCGGCGCGTAGTATAGCTGGAGGGCTTGTTCAAGGTGCCTAACGCGGAAAGCGTTCATTGTGCGCACTCTTGCCTGCACAAGCCCGGGCTGTTCAGGGGGAAAGTGGAGGCTTATTCTTCACTAATCCCGCCTCCTCCATGTCGCTACGCTATCTCGATAACACGCATAATATAACTTTCCATATTTCAACCAGAAAAAGGCCCGGGTGCAGTCTGCACGCTGCTGATCGAGGCCACGTTAGACCCCTGCAAAGCGAATGAGGATCCCCAAACAATTGCCTAGCAGTTAGCCGGCCTGTAAACTAAATAGACCGTATTCCTCGTATATTTGTTTTCCCATGCAGTAAAATAATGCAACTCTATTGAGTCGATGATTCACTGGCTGCCATGGAGGCTGAACCTTGCATGCATTGCAGACTCGTATCTTGGCGTAGATGCAGTGACACTGCAAAAAAACTAATTTTTTAACATTGATATAGCTGTTTTATTTTGAGTCAGCTCATTTAGTTCGTGGACCTTGGACTTTTCCGCAGCTTACCGACCCTCCGCATTGCACGGCGGTCTCGGCCACTCTTCGTTTCATGTCTAGCGCAGAGAATACAACTTCTCACTGCCACTAAATAGGGTTTTATGCGTTGCCCTTCAACTGTTGGCTCTGAATCTTTAATACTATCCGCAATCGCAGCATGAGTGGCCAAAATCCCGAGCGCACTACTCGTTGGCTAACTGGTGCTGGTGCTGGCTGCTTGCGCTGACATAGTAAAGTCCCACCCGCCTTCTTCTTCTTTACTTCGAGAAAGCCGCATGCAATAGTGTCGAAGGGAAGCGGCGATAAACTCTTCTTTGGCAACGAAGGCGAGAGGCTGTTCCCAGCGTCGCCCTCCCTGCCCGAGCACTCCTGCGCGTTTCGCACTTCGAAAATGCCGGCAGAGAATAATGCGGAGAGCAAAGAAGGAAAGGACTGCGCGGACGATATGTCTGCAGACGCTGTCTGTACATCTGCGGGCTTGGGAGAGCCCTCTTCTTCAGTTTCGGACGCGCCGCTCTCCCCTGCCTCTGGCAAGTCTCCGCAGCGGAAGCAAACTCCCGCAGCAGCAGCAGCAGCAGCAGACATTGTGCACCTCATAAGCAGCGAGGGAAAGCGGGTGGACGTGCCGCTGAACATTGCAAAGGAGTGCGAGTTCTTAGAACGCATGCTCGCGGGGAACTTCACTGAAAGCAAAACGAGAGAACTGAACCTCCCCAGCATCAGATACAACACACTGTGCAAAGCAGTGGAGTACTTAAAGCGTAGATATCAGTGGCGGGAAGAGGGGGGGGCCCCCCTTGAGTTTGAAATCGAGCCCGAGATTGCTATAGATCTCCTCATAGCAGCCGATTACTTAGGAATGAAGTGAAGTTCGCACATATTATGAACATATTATGAATACAAACAGCCTTTTGCTTCAATAATTAGCGGGGCAAATCTGAATAAGGTCCCCAGACCTGCATGCCTCCAGCTAGCCCGAGAATCGGGCGTTTCCGTGCGAACACGAACAGACTTCGCACACTTTACCATTCGGTTTTTCCTTGAGACAAACTCACATGCCTTAATTTTGCATGCGACCTTTCCACGATTCCGCGCTGTTTGCGAGTAAACTCGAATTAGTTCATTTTGTCCACTTTTGTATTTAACAAATCGCGAATATAATGCAAACTGCATTCGCCGCAGGGCATTTTGCTCCCCTAGTTCTGGGGAAGGCTGTGCGTACCAGAATCCGAGTAGTCTTGTCCTGCTTTCGTCACTATTTCCCGCTCTTTGCCTCGCCAATACCCATATTTCAACACAAGTTTGTGCAAGTGTGCATGCATGCATGCACGCGTAGTCTGCGTGCACGGAAGTATGCGTACACGAATGCCACGGCGCCGCACACAACCCGCTTGCGTCCACGTGTGGCTCAGTACTGCGAATTCACCAGTGGAAAGGCCCCGCTAAACGGTATTGCATATTCGCAGAATACTTTCTTATCAGTATGCGTTTAGAGAGGCTTATATGCGCATTTACACTTGCTAGGGCTACAGTTTCAATTCTTGTGTTCGTCTATTTCACTACAGACGCAGTTGTTGGAGCTCCGCCTATGCGGAGCTCGAGCTACCTCTGAGTTAGGTGTAGCAGGGCAAAAGTAAAAGTTACAAAGGACCTGCAAGGTCACTTCTCTGCAAGTTATTCGAAACTCAAACCGTTAAACGATGTCCCCCACTGGTGGGTGGAAGATCACAACTGCGTTTGAATTCGCCGGAAGATCCCGTGAAGCACATGGCGGACTCCAGTGAGTGGCACGAGGGTTTCGAACCCTTCATCTGTTCGTGATGACAGGTGCTGGCGCCCGAGCAATTCGAGCATGTCAAATGCATTGTCCTTTGATTTCTGTCTCGCTTTAGTCCTTGGGGAGCTCATTAGCCAAGCAAGGAAGGAGCGACGTCTTCCGGCCCCTCCCATTCCTCCTTCCAACCTCAGCAGCGCTTCAGCTTCCTCTGTGGCCCCCAAAGCCTCGGTAGGGGCTCCTGCTGCTGAGCCGGGCGTTGCAACCTCGCCGCTGCGGTTGCCTGCTGTCGCCGTTGCAGCTGCTGCTGCAGCAGCGTCCTCACCAGGTTTCTCTGGCAACTGTAGCGAGACACCGTCGTTATCCGTGCTACTGCAGCTTGCTTGAGGCTGCTCCAGAAAACACTTGCCAATACGCACAAGGGCAGAGTCGGAGGCCCTGATGGTGCCCCTTTCGTCTCCTATTGTGTGACTTATAAAACGAGCTCCTGCATTTTGAATCCACCTTTTGCAAGCCGCCGTTTGGCGAGAGACAATGCGCAGGAAGGACTGGCTCTGCTTTTGAATGAGGTTGGCCGAACGCAGGATGTCCGCCAGGCGTTGTATGTCTTCTTTGTTTCGCTTTTCTTCAACAAATCGTTTGGCTGCAACTTTAAGTGATTCGAGCCTTTCCTTCGAAGTCTCGTCGATGGGCATGGCGTCGATCACGGGGTTGAACCGGAAGTAGGCAGTAGGCGGCAGCAGATCTTGCAACAGTTCATGAATTGCTTCTGTGTTTGTTGCTGCATTCACAAGCTGGTTGAAAACACCATCCCAGCCTGTGCGTGTGTCGCATCTCTCTGGGGCACACTGACCTGTGCCAATGCTTACTACCACCTCAATAGGCACCCCCGGGTATAAAGCCTTCGCCTCAGCGATCGCAACAGCTGCTGGGTTGTTCGCCAGCAGCGCCCCATCCATCAGCAGCTCACCCCCAATCTTCTTGCCGCTGAAAAACCCTGGCGCAGCAGTCGTTGCTCTTAGCGCATCTTTCACTCTCACACAACAAGAGCCTTCATATCGTCCCCCATGGGGCTCCGCACCCTCGCTGGAGCGAAGAGCTAGCGAAGACGGCCACCGCAGCATGCGCGACACAGCACCCCCACCCACCCTGTTGCTGAAGAGCGATGAATGGAATCCCGCAGAGGCTGAGCCCCTTGTCCTGTGGGGATAGTTATAGTTTCGCCAGATTACTAGCTTTGCAGGGCTTGTGGACACGTTTGTAGACAAGCAGAAGACCTTGGGGGCTGCTGTGTCGGCAGCAAAGTCAATCATTCGTGTATCGCCGAACGCCCTCTGCAGCAGCGACTCCCACAGGGTCTCATCGTAATAGGCCTGGCGCACAACAAGCCGTGCACCAGCCACAGCTGCGGAGTCTTTAACAAATATTTCGTGAATCAAAGTATCATATAGAGCCTCAAGTTCATTGGCTGTGGCTTTTTCCAACCCCAAAAGCAGCGCCACCACCCCTCCTGTTGACGTGCCACAGATGATGTCGAACACATCACTCAACTCTCGACCCACAGCTGCTGCGATCTCCTTCAGCAGCGCAACTGTTAGAACACCCCTAGTGCCACCCCCGTCTAAGGCCAGGATCCGCAGCCCACGCTGCCCCGTCACCCGCGGCTGCCACCGCGGCTGCCATCCCAAGGCAGCTGAGAGGATAGTGGCTAGACGCAAGGGCCTGGCGTGTTTCAGCAGGACCCTCTTGTGCCGCTCGCCGGGAGGCAGCAGCTGCGCCACCTGCAGCAGCTCCACCTCTGCTGCTACCCGCAGTGCGGACTCGCCTGCGCAGCTGGAGGTGGGGCGGGCTGCTGCTGCAGCTGCTCTGCAGGCGCGAGCTGCGGGGGCCTTTGTTGAACAAAAGCCAATAACTTGTTTAAGCGCTGCATCCAATGATCTGTACTGCTGCAGCTCCTTGAGCAGGCCTTCATCCCTCGTGCACAGTTCGTACAATAAATTCAAAGCCGCAATTTGCTTTTTCTCCCGCATTATCAGATCTGTCGCATCACTCGCCACCCCCCTCCCAAAGCCCCACCACCAGCTACTTTTGTTGCTATAGGGAGCCAATATAGCCGCTGCAAGCCCCTTATCAAGCTCGCTGGCTCCCGGCGTGCCACCCGCTGCTCTGCTGCTCTTTAGCTCGCGCGAGAGCTTCTCAAGTACCCCCAAGTCGTCGCTGCGAAGCAGCGACAACAGTGTCTCAAGGGCCTCCAGCTGAAACGCGCTGCTGCCGCGGGTTGCTGCCTTCAGCAGCGCGCCAACGGCGGCGGGCTGCACTGCAGCCTGAAAGGCTGAGGAGCCCGTCAAAAGGCACAGGGGTGTGAAGTACAACTTTTCGTTTTGTACTGTCACACCAACTGAGAGAGAGTCGCTGCTGATGCTGCTTCTCTCATCCGATTTGTCTGCAGCAAAAGAGAAAATGCTGCTTCCCTCCCCTTTCTTGCCCCCTGGCGGCTCCGAAACTGTGGCCATCCCCAATACGCCCCACCTGGGCGCCGCGCCGCCTGCGGGCTCCGGCCACCCTATGTGCACATCCTGCAGCAGCTGCAGCAGCTGAGACTCAAGCTGCAGCTGCGGCTGCTGCTCCAGCTCGAGCTGCGGCTGAGTGCCACTACTCTCTGCATGCACGGTCTGCTGCTGCGAAGAAAGAGCTCTTAGGCGCTCCGTGACCTTCTCCTTCATTGCTGCTGCCACTGCGTCTCCAAGCACAGCAGCGACAGCCGCAAAGACCCCCCCGTTGCCGCCCGCCAGGCAAATTGGCACCCAAAAAACGCCTCTATTTGCTTCCTGCTCTGTCGTTTTTGTGCTGCACTTGTTCCCGAGGCTCCTGCTGCCAAACGCTGCATTGTACGTACACTCTAGAGGCGCAGTCAACAGCCGCATGACATCTAGCCAGTTCCATCTCTTTGCCGGCTCTGCATTCCTCAATCCGAATTCCCCTGCTGCCTCCCTCGCCGCACCTGCATCGCCGCAAACCCCATTGGCCTCTCCAGCAGCAGCAGAGGGGCCACTGGCGCCGCTGCAGCCTACAAGTTCTTTGTGGCTGTCATATTTGGGTAAGTCAGCAGCAGCTGCAGCGGGGAAGGAGCAGCTTGGAATTTGGAGTTCTTTTGAATTGAAGTGGCAGCCCTTGGGTGTCCCCGACTCTCCTGAGGAAGTTCGTCTTTTGAACGAAAGCAGAAATGACCGAACTCTCCCCGACAGCGGCGCTGTCTGTACAGTCCTCAGCCCTTCCCCCATGGAAACTTCTCCTTCCCCGTGGCTTCGCTGCAGCAGCAGAAGTTCCTTTGCATAGGGGGCATTACTGCGCACTCCCTCGAGATAGTGCAGCAGCCGCGCCGCCAGCTCTTCTGCTGCTGCTCTCAACAGCTGCAAATCGCTGAGCGTCCTTGCTTGAACTGTTTGGTCTGCTTCTTCGAGCCGGGCAGCAGCTGCTGCTCTGCTGCGGGCCTGAAGTGCTGCTGGCGCTTTGGGGCTGTTTGCTGCAGAGGCCTCTGCACCGAGCTGCGGCGCCGCCGCTCTCCCACGCTGTGCTGCAGCACCAGCATTCGCAGCAGCAGCTGCTGCTGACGTTGCTGCTGCTCCTCCATGCGCGTCAGAGGGCTTCGGAGAGAGTGTCAAGCCTTCTTGATGGAGATGTGAATTTTGGTGTTGGTCTAAAGGGGCGGAACGCGCAGTATAAGTTGGCTCTGCTGCATGCAGCTGCTCCGCAGCAGCAGCAGCAGCAGCAGCAGCTCCCTCTTTAAGGTGCACTCCTACGTCTCTTTTGCTTCCCCCCTCCAGCGCCCTGTTGTCCGCGTTTGAGGCTTTTGCTGCAGCAGCAGGGAAACCAGAACTGGGAAGACCTGGGGGAGCACTTGAGGCCATTTGAAAGCCTATTTCTGCTGCTGCTGCCCCGCCTTTGCTGCTGCTGCTGCTATCCCCTGCAGCCACGGGAGGGCCCCCAGGGGCCCCAGAGTCCTGTGGGGCCCTTGGCTCGCCTGGGGCCCCTAAGCGCCCAGGATATCCTGAAGCCCCTGCCCTTATTCTGTGCAGCGCAGCCAGCAAGCCCTTGTGGCTGGCTAGCTGCTGCTGCAGCTGCGGGCCCCACACGGAAAGCTGAGCTAACAGTTTCAAGACATTTAGCTGCAGCCGAAGCAGCAGCAGCGACTGAGTCGTGTTTGGCTCAGCCTCGCGCTGCAGCCAACGCGGCCAGAAGGGCCTCGGGCTGGGGCTGCTGAGGATGCGATTAAGATGAACTAGAAGCCCCTTGCTCATCAGACGCTCTACTGCGCTGCTGCTGCTGCTGCAGCTGCCGCTGCTGCTGCTGCTGCTGCTATCTGGGGGGCCCTCGGACTCGTCCAGGTGAGGCGGACTGCCCGCCAGCAGCACTACAAAGGCCTTTTTTTCTGCTGCCCTCAGGGGCCCCTCAGCAGCAATAAGGGCCTGCAGGGCCCCCACAGCAACGGCCTGCTGCGCGGGGGGCCCCTTGAGGGCCAGCAGCAGCTGGTCGGCCACTGCGTCACAGGAAGCGCAAGAAAACTTCGGGTGTACGTACACTGCAGGGCTTCACTATTTTCAAAGAAGAAACTCAAGACTAAACTGGCTAGCAGACGCTTTAGAGTGCAGAAGTTTTTGTTTGGGCTCACCCGCTGTCTGCAAATCAGGCAGGCGTCCCTCTTGACGTGCAGCAGCTGCAGCAGCTGCAGCAGCAGTCCCCACTGCAGCAAGTGCAGCAGCAGTTCCCGCTGCAGCAGCTTTTTCCGTCTCTGCGGCGGAGGCCGCGGGTCCCCGCTTCGGTTGCTTTGCGCCTGCCCTTTGGGCTGCTGCTGCAGCAGCAGGATCACCTTGAAGCTGCAGCAGGCACTCTCTTTCGCTGCTGCTGTTGCTGCTGCCATTCACGGGGGCTTTCCCGGCAGCTGCTGCTGCCTCCGCTTTGCTGCAGGCTGCACCAGAGGCAGCAAAATCTTCAGCCCCCTTTTCCTCTGCTGCAGGCAGCAGCCCCTGCGGGCCATTTGCCCCTTCACTCTTAGCATGCAGCAAAGCTTTTGCACCCGCTTGCTGCTCAGGGGACCCTCTAGCTGCTGCTGCTGCTGCTGCTGCTGCTGCTGGCAAAGGAGCTGCGTCTGAGTCTTCTTCAGGAGCAGCAGCTTCAGCCGGTACTTGGGGGCCTTCTCTGCGGACTTGTGAATTATTCTCCTCCTTTGAGGATGACGAGTGGCAGTGCTGTGCATGCGTTTCAGAAAGTGCTGCAGCAGCACTTGTTTGCTGCAGCCTTTTCGTCTTTTGTTGCCCACTACCCAACAGCGAAGCTTTGCTGCTGCTTCTTTCTGCCTCCACTGCAGCAGCAGCTGCTGCAGCAGCTGGTGCAGCAGCTGGTGCAGCAGCTGGTGCAGCTCCCAGAGGCTCCCAGGCTTTGCTTTCTGAAGCAATTGGGGCCTCAGTTTGGCTGGGTGGGGGGCCCCCCAGTGCCTCCTGGGGGCCCCCCTTAGTCAATGGCTCCCCGGCCCTCTGCAGGGCAGCTGCTGCAGTGGTCTCCGCGTCTGCAGATGGACCACTGGTCCCCCCCCGCAGCCAGCCCTTGCTTGCGGGGGCTTGCACAGCTCGCTGCGGGGCCTGCGGGTGACCAGTGGTCCTCAGCTTGCGAAGAAGGGCCCCCAAGCTCCGCCTGAAGCTCTCTTGAAAGCTCTTCGCCGGGGGGGCCTCTGGCCCTTTGCATGCAGCAGCAGCGCTGCAGACAGTGCAGGGGACTTGGCCGGGAAGGCTGAGGGGCTGCAGCAAACTGCAGCAGCAGCGGCTGGGGCCAGAGAGGCTGGGGGAGGCTGCGGGGGCCTGCAGCCGCGCTGGACCTCCGGGAGAGGCCAACGGCGTAATTAAAGGGGAACTAATTGGGCCTCCGCCCCCTCCAGTGGACCAGTGGTTCACTAGGCCCGCTGAAACTGCAGCCAGCGGACCCTGAACACCGCGGGGCCCCTGGACCAGGGCCCCCTGGGGCCCCCCCCCCCTTTCTGTCTGCACTTCCCATCTTCGCTGCCACTTATTTTTCGCAGTTTTGTGTAGAGAGTGGGCCAGTGGAGAGAAGACTGGCACTGAGGCCGTCTCGGGGCTAGCGGGGGTTTCAGGGGGGCCCCCCGAGGCTCGGAATGAGCAAGTGGAAGTGGCGCAGAGGCCTAAAGCAAAATAAAGCCAAAATATGAAATAACATGCAGAATAATGGGACTTAGGTTGCAGAGCGATGCATGCAAAGGCCTTTGCCGGCGGTGTTCTTGGCGGAGCCCGACGACGGGGAAGAGGACCGACCGAGGCCCCCATTAAGGGCAAGTTTGTCTCTCATCACCGTGAAAAGGAGAAATATTGAGTTAAAAGAACATTTGGGATTCATTTGGATGTTTTATTCGCAAGAATCACCGGTGCTAGGGAGGGAAAGCTGTCACTTGGCTGTCGGCCAGTGCCACGCCGCGGCTAGTGTCCCACCAGAGGCCTCGAGTTGCTCTTGTCTGTTTGCCTCGAATTACATTATTTAGAATCTTTTTGCATTTTTATTTCCAATTAAACAAATTTTCAAGAAATGTTACTTCTTCTTCGGATTCCGCAGAGGACTCTGGACTGTGTTGCATGCGCCAAAAATACGAGACAGGGAGTTGAGGTTGCCACGCCCGAGCCCCCGCTGTCACCCCAGACTGATGAATTAATAATTTCTAATTCATTTATTATTTTAAAATTATATTTTATGCAACTTTAAACAGGAAATAGCTCCCAAGGTCCCCTGCAACTCCACCTCTGCAGCAAAATAATGCAACACAGCGGCTTTCCACATTTCAGAAAATTCAGTACTGGAGAACTCTAAGAAGCAAATAGACAAAAAAATTAGTGAACAATGACTACATGGCAGTTTTAAAGATGCTTTTGAATGCCCCCTTCCCCAGCATTTTCTTGACAAGAAACGGCGAATAAGTTGAATAGAAACTTCTCTTTAGTCTAGAACTTGCAGATTGCCTTCAAGTGCTCTTCATCTCCAGCAATTCGCACTTGTTCATATTTGTTATTTCATTTCTTGAGTAACTGCCCAGCCTTGCGTAGAAATTGGCCGTTACAGCAGCAGCTGCAGCAGCAGCTGCAGCAGCAGCTGCAGCAGCAGCTGCAGCAGCAGCTGCAGCAGCAGCTGCAGCAGCAGCTGCAGCAGCGGCCTTTTCTATGCCTCTTCGTTGAGCTGCTCGTCTTCGGCCTCTTCTGCTTCTGTCTGGGCAATTGCATTTGCTCTTTTTTCGAGTTCTGCTGCTTCTGCAGCTTCTGCTTTTATTTCTTTCTTGTTGAGTTCCTCCTGGGCCTCCGCAATCTTCTCTTCTGCCTTTTCAAGCTCCTTTTCCTCTTGCTTGCATTCTGCGTCCGTCAGTTAAAGTATAAATGCATGCAGTGTTCACCAGCAAATTTCAGCTTCACCAACCTTCATCTTCCCCCCCCTCTTCTGGCTCAGCTTTTGCCTCGGCGGCCTCACTCGGCGCCTCCCCTTTGTCTTCGGCAGTTTCCATTTCAGAAACAGAAGCTTCCGTTTCCTTGGGGCTTTCAGGGGCTTCTTTTTCGCCTTCTGAAGCTCCGAACTTGCACTATGAGAGTTTCTGTTGGCCGCATTCCTGTGATGCTGGCTTACGTTCTGCTTCGTCAGCCTTTTCTTCACTTTCGTTGCCCTCTGTTGTTTGCAAAGAATAGACTTGTGCTGTTAATGCAAAGAAGCCGTAGCTGCGAACCTTCGTCTGGCTCAAGCATGTGTAGATGCGCCTTAACTGAGGCAAGCACGGGAGACCCTGAGATAAAAACGTAAGCTCCACTTAATTTAAAAATTAACACCGAAATCTTACAAGACTTTGTGTTAGATTCGGGCAGGTGAGTGGGTAGTCGCTGGCGCCGCGTGGCGGTGCCACGGGAACTACCGAATGCAACTTTCAAACCATTCTCCGCCGCAGCTCCCAAGACTGCGGGAGCTGCCCAAATGCAAAAAAACACGGAAAGACGAAACATTTTTGTTTTTTATCGAGTCGATAAGGCCCACTTGGAAACGCCCCGTCCAACAGGACTCGCCCAGCGCTCTGCCACCAGCAAGGAAAAGGTGTACGTACACTCCAGCCACTGCTACTTCCAGCTTCCATATGCTGAAAGTATAACAACTTTTTCTGTTTGTGTCGATCAATTAAGTTCTTAATGTCTTTCTCGTTAGCGCCATTTTATTAAGTGATGGGTTCCAGGCGGCACCATCCCAGCAGTCAATACAGACCGGACGGCTTTGCGCGAATGACCTTGAATTGAACGTAAACTTATGACTCTTTTGCACATTCTCCAATTAGTTCCGGTTTTTTAATGGCATTTTAGTACTTGTATGTTGGAGTCCTTCTGCAGAGTCTGTGTTGCATCTGCTGCGAAGTGTCTGTGATACGCACTGCGTAACTTCCCTCCTCATATCGGGAAGCAGCAGGAAACTCCAAACCAAGAATTACTGTCACTGTCTCTGGTGTTTTCTGATCGCCTGTTGAACGGGCTTGGTGGCCCTTAGATGGAGTGGTGGCCCACGGCTGCATGTGCAGTGCAAATCAGCCACTTGGCGCATTCATTTGAACGCAAAAACCTCAATATTGACATTTTAAAAACAAAAAAAGTTGAAAATTGTGCATTTCTTGCAGCTTTAGTGCAGATCATCAGCAGTCGGTTCAGCGTGGCCTCTGGTGTCGCGGTGGGGCCTCGATGGCCTCGACGGCGTCGCCTGCGGTGTACGCAGGGCATTGAGAAATTCAAGTTTTGAGTTTCTGCAGATTTGAATTATTTTATTATTTCTTTTGTGTGTTGGGCGCTTTGAATCCACAGAGCCGCCAACGCTCAGTGTTCCCTCTTGTTTCATTTCCCGTGAAGAACTCTCCAGCCAAAGTCCGTAGACAGTCCATCCTTCTTTGGAAATTGAATCTGTTTTTGCAAAAAAGACATTTTGCCATTTGCTGCAGACACTTGAAGCTCTGCAGTTTCCCGCGTGAGCTACTGAGAGCCAAAAACTTGAACGAATTCAAAGTTTATTCCTCAATGTCTCCAGAATAAACTGCAATTGGACTTCTAGTCTCAACGAAAGAAACATGCAAAAGCCACACATGAAACAGCTATGCAGAAGGAACGCCCGCAGCCCGAAATATGGTAAGTGGCAGGCCGCTGCTGAACTGCAAAGACAGTAAAGTCGATGATAGTGCAGAAATGGCGCAAAATATCTTTATTTAGTCATTTTATTTGTGCACAAAAGCCTCAAAGGCCTCGTGATTGCCAATCTGCACATGGGCTTTGCCTGCAGCGTCCTGGGGGGAGGGCTCAGCGGGCTCGCCACTGTCTTTTACCTGCGGCAGCAGCAGCAGCTGCAGCACGCGAACATAAGGCTCATAGAAGCGCGGGAGCAACTAGGGGGGGAATACATTCAAACGGAATACGCAGATGCAGGCGTGTTGCAGCTGCTGCTGCAGCGGCTGCAGCTTCCCCAGGCTGATAGGGAGGGGGCTGCTGCCTCAGGAGAGAGAAATAAAGAAAAGAGAAGTGAAATTAACGCAGAAAAGTCGGAGAAACTTCTGCCTTTGGTCCGCCAGGTCCTTCAAGATCGCCTGCCTACTCAGCACCTCTCTGTGGCCCCTGGCGCGCTGCGAGGCAGTGGCCAGGAAGATCATTTCTCCACTGTTTTTGGAAACTCGATACAAATGCCTACAGATCTTGGCAATGCTTCTCTGATTCCTATGGAGTTTGGAGCAGGTGCGCCTCACCTGCTGGCCCCCGGCGGCGGCCATGTGCTCCGGCTGCTGCAGCAGCTGCTGCTGCCCTCTCAGCTGGTTATTGCTAGGCGCCAGGCCGCCTCTATCTTCTCCTTGGTGCGCAGCAGCAGCAGCTGCAAGTGGCTGGGACAGAGGGGCAGCTGGAGGGCTCCCTTGCTACGACTCAGGCAACGGGAACTTGCCACTTCGCAAGTTTCTTCTTCAGCAGCAGCGGCAGCAACAGCAACAGCAGCAGCGCAGCGTGGGCGGAGCAGGCCCGGGCTGTCAAGGCTGAATGTGCTAATGGCACTTTTTGCTGGCATTCGTGAAAGCTGCTTAACTAAGGAGGCAGTTCGTCGGCGGCAAGCCACGGGGGGCCCCAACAGTCCAGCAGCAAGAGATATGTCAGTCGCTGCCTTTGCTGAGCTGCACTCCTGTAAAGCCTTCTCCAACGCTGTGCTGCTTCCCGCCTTCAGCGCCTGCAGCTATGCAGGTCAGCAGCAGCCCAGTCAAGTTGAAGTCCATAGGTGTTGCGCTCGTTCCCAGAAAAGCAGCTGCATGCACAGCGGCAGCACCGGCTGTGTGCAAGATTGCGAGCAGCCACATGCAGGGCTGCAAGTGCAGCTTAAAATGCTATCTGTTTTTGCTAGAAGAAGCAGCTCAAAATTTTTCAGCGGAGTTGCGCGTTCTTCCCTGAGTTCACTGGTCAGCAGTGCACCGTGAGAAACCTAATTATGCTCTTTGGCAATTTTCAGTGTGCTGCGCTCTTCAGGAGATGCGGCGGAGCTGTCTGCTGCAGCGTATTTCCCAAGAGCGTGGCTGCTGCAGCAGCAGTACGGCTCGTTGCTGCGTGGCTGCCTGGCTGAGCGTCGTCTGGCCCGTAAGAGAGGGGCTCAGGAAAAGGAGAACAGCCCCTGCAGCAGCAGCACCATTGACAGCAGAGATGGCAGCTTTATTGATGGCGGAGGCCGCATATTTCCTGTCGAAGGCTGCAGGGCATTTCCAAAAGGCCATGATGCGGTGCAGCGAGTGGTAACAGAAGGGGCCGGCGTGTTTACGCCGGTCGGAGGCATGCGACAGGTAATTTCTTGACCAAATAAGAGAAAACTCATATTAAAGGCAGCTGCGCACGCAGCAGCAGCAGTAGACGGAGTATCAGCAACAGTAGCCTCGGTGCCGTTCTGCTGGTTAGTTTATCCCACATCGCATTTTTGTCGTCCAGCTGTTTGATTTTGCAGCTAGTTGAAGCGCTGAAGAAAAGCATTATGTCGCCGTCCAGTCAGGGTCCTCCTGTTTCTGTGGTATTGGGCTCGCCAGTTGTACGCATTGAGGCACTGCCTAGGGCTGGAGCCGGTGAGGGGAAAGCAGCTGAGGTTGTCTGCGAAGACGGGGCCCGCTATCCGGCAGACGTCGTCATCTGTGCGATGCATCCTCATTGCTTGGGGCACATTCTGATGCCTAGCGAATGCGAGGACAAAGTGATTACTTCCTGTGCAACAGAGAAGGGAGCCCCCCAAGCGTCAGCTTGTGGAGCTGCAGGCGGCAGTGACACCACACAGCTCAGTCATGCAAAGCACGAAACTTCAGGCCTATCCACAATGGCAAAGTTCTTGACGTCGCTGCCTTGTGCTTCGTGGATTACTGTGCATGCTTTTGGCGCCCATAGCTCGCGGCGCGCGTTCTCTCTTGGAAGGGGGTGCGTCTACAGTCCGTCGCAGCTGGATGAGAAGGCTAGCCCTGCCCGGCCGCCGTTTCCGTCAGAGGCTGCAGCGAGAGCAGCGGCTGATGAGGACATTGCAGAGGCACTGAAAGGGCTTGAGGAGTCTCTGCAAGCTGCACGAGATGCTGTGATAGTGGCTGAGTTGCAGCTTCCAGGAAATCTTTTTCCTCATCTTCAGGCTGCCGCCCTTGCGGCGGCGGAAAGGTTTGACAGAGACGCCGTTGCTTGGGCTACCAAGGCCGAGCTGCTCCACGTTCAAGCTTCAGTACGCGTCCAGCAGATTGAGGCACTTGTGAACCGCATGCAGCACCTGCTACTTCCACTGCAACGGCTACTGCACCCCCACAAGTCTTCAGGCGAGCAGCAAGAAGAGAGAGCTGCTGGGTTGCTCGCTTTGGGCCTCTTAATCTCTTCAGCAGAGGAAACAGTGACGCGTTTTCTGCTGCGAGAAGGCATCATCTTGGCATCGGACCGTCTGGTTATGTGCTCTCGTCTCTTACCGCTAGCCGAGCTTCAGTGGCCTGTGACAATAAGGCATACGCAGAAGTCTCAAAACGTTGCGCAGCCAAAGCAGCTGCTAAATCTTGTTAAGCAATTCGAGAGCCTCCGCGACAGACAATGGGGAGATTTTCCAGTCATACATGCGACTCTTAGTGAATTAGCAAGTGAATCACCGCCAACGCAGGCCTTAAAGGAGAAAGTGCTTGGGCAACCAGTGGGGCAGTGTACGACAGCTTCCGCTGCATCTGTGGGGCTTGAAGGCGACAGTGCGGAGCCCTTTTCATTTGCGGATGCGCGCCTTGACTTCCACAAGCTTAGGGTTCGGGTAGCGCCGTGGCTTCAAGTAGTCGGCGCGTCAGGATCTCTGAGGTTAGTCGCGCTCGTTTCATTGTGATATTTCGGGTGGAAATACCAGTTAGATATGATATCATTTTCCTTTAGAGACAATGTTTTCAAGTTGTGCGCTGCGGGTCCGCAGCGAATGGGGCCCTGGGGCAAGGGTGAAGGACGCAGCCATCCTGGCGCACCAGATTGGCCGGAGGTGAGTGCCTGGTGCATGCGCATCTCCACTCTGCAACAGCTGCTGTCGCGTTGCCCTTCAGCGGACTATTTCCTCAGTAGCACCAGCCTCTAACGCTAGTATGAGTTTCACCAAAAGTTGACCCCTTTAATTCAGTTTTTGCAAAGGAGTTTGGCCACTTGCTGTACTCTTGAATCATGTTATTTGTGGATACCTTTCAGGTTTGCTGCCTTTCCAAGCGCCGATCCGGAATGTTGCGCGGATTTCATCTCCCGCCTTAACGGAGGCTGGCTGGATGGAGCAGCAGGGAAGATTGCAAAGTGACCTTCTTGATATAAGGGTCCTAGATCTGCCAGTTTGGAAGATGTAGCATGCATCTACATTTATATCTGCACTGCTCTCCTAGGACTTGGAAATTACTAGACTGTGACGGAATTTTTCAAGCGTAGAAATGAGGCAGATTAGTAGGGAAGATTGACCTTGCGGCTTCTTTCCTGGAAACGGAGAGTGTAGGCCGCCCACTTAGCATTTTGCATATGGAACTCACACCAAATGTACCACGAGTTGCGTGATACTTGAGAGTATCTACCCTTGTGGTGTGTAACTCTAATGTGGTTCAATGCAGTTGTTTCCCATGCAACGAAAGACCGGCCTGTCAAAGGGTGCTTTGCGCCTGGTAGATTCCTCTTTGTTGCAGTAGGTGTAAAGCTTATTATGATTAATTTCAGCTAGCTACAACGGGCGCTATTGTCACTTGCTTTGCTGAGGATATTGCAACTTCTTAGTGTAGCGGGCGAGGCAGCTGCTGGCCTTTTTAAGCGGGGATCACTGAGTTTGGCGGATTAGCGCAGGCTAGCGATATAGTCCTGCACAGATACTAGGTTCCTCGCAACACGTATTGCCCCTGTGTTCAGTGGACCAGGTCGCCAGTAGAACTCCCCACGATATGGCACCACTAGCGCCTACGCTAGGCAGCCCTCCTAAGCGGCATAGAAAACAAAGGAATGCAAGATACTAGATTACGGTGGAGGGAAGACGGGGTCACGGCTCTATAGATCTTCGATAACCCGTTTGCTCAACAATTGGCCTTCAGAGGCACCGGGTACGATGCAAAAACAAGAAGCATCCTTTTATATAGCTCTTCTCTAGATTCAAGGAAGTGATTAAGAGTCTTGTTCTACTACGTGATGAGACAAGAATCCTCCATGCGAGCAAAGTTGGTCGAGTGACCTCCTGCGCCGTTGCCCTTCACTGACTCCAAGGCAGCAGGGCAGTCTAAACCATGCACAGGCAAATATTATTGCGTTAGCTATAAAAAATTGTATTAGCATTCATGCAGATAGAGCAGAGACCAAAATTTAGCAGAACATCTGCCATATCCGACAATGAACAGCAGGCGCGCCTTCAGCCCCAGACCAATGGGCAACGGTGATGGTAGCGGGCCAAGTCCAGGTTATCAAAGAAGGGAACTGGTAGTTTTTTGTTGGCATATTTTTAATTTGTTTCAAATTATAGGGCGAACTTGGACCAATAATCAGCCGAGGCCTTCATAATATTAAGCAGCGCTGTGTAATGGAAGACCTTCCCATTAACTGTGGTGGTTTTCCAGTGCGCTTGTCTCTGTCCCTACTAACACTTATTGCAAAGAAGAGGCGAAGTTTACAAGGTGATGCGCCGAGAGTCAGTACTCTTTATGGTGATGGAAGGGTGACGTTTTAGTTAGGCCTTAACATGCGCCGGCGCGGCTATGCTCTCCCGCGCGGAGCCGTCAAATGATATTGTGGGGCTACATACTTCCACCCTCTCCGAAGGAACATCTAGGAGACAAATTGGAAGCAAGCCTAATCGCGCCATAGTTACACTCTGGAGCTGCCTAGGCTGCGGACGACGAAGCGGCCTGTCAGTGACGTCTTTGGAACTGAAGCGGCTCACAAATAAACGACATGCAAGCGTGGCATTTCTGTTTGTGAGACGAAAATTCCAGGCTATTCCTGGAGCTGCACATTGAAAGGTCTGGCCTTATTGGATACCTGGCTTGGTCATCTCGTGATAATATAATCAATTGCTATCGCGGGCGGCCACGTTTTGGGCAGGCACTGCTTTTCAGGCCAACCCCAAAGCCGATCAGACTCTGAAGTGACGGTAGGAAATATGTCTCAGCAATTTTGGGTTCCTCACCCTACAGAAGTTTGGGGCGTCGCAGTGGAAGTTGATGGGCAAAATTACAAGCTTTGGAAGGCCTTTGATTCGGAGACAGATCCAAACAATCTTGTTTTCACGCCTAAAGCAGAAGATCGGCCAAGAGTTAAACCAGTAGTAGACCCAAAGGGGCTTCAAGGTAACACATCTGAACACAAGGCATCCGCTTCCTTTAAAAGATCCGTGTTGCGCGTTCGACGAGCCTCATTGTAAACACGTTTGTACAACAGTTTTCACGCTAAAAACCTGGTTTTTGAGGGATCAGGTAATACAAAGCTTTTGCGTTTTCTCCGTGTATGCCACTTGCGAGTCTTTAGGTCTGGACAACATATGCGACCTTTCAGATGTTACCGAGGCGTCTCTGTTGCAGACCTTGCGACAGCGTTATAAGGAAAGGCAGATTTACACTAATGTTGGGCGCATTGTGCTTTCTTTGAACCCATTCGAATACCTTCCACTCTATGGAGAAACCACCATTTCTCAGTACATGCTCTGTCCCGACCCGTATACTCTGCAGCCGCACATATACCAAGTCTCTGCGGCGGCCTTGCAGAACCTGAGCGAAGAGGGGAAGCCGCAAGCAGCGTTGATCACGGGAGAATCTGGTGCGACTGAGTGCCGAGAGTGCAGAGTTGCTTTACAGTTGCCGCTCGCTTTTGTGTCTCATCAAGCAACAGGCCACGATGTGTACTGCTGTCCAGCCCCCTACCTTGCACCATAATTTTCGACGAAAGGGCGGCTTGTAGAAGTCACAGATGCTAATTTGTGCATGCGTTACATGCTACAGGGGCAGGAAAGACGGAGACAACGAAGTTAATTCTACAGTTTCTCGCAGTTGCGGGGGGAAGTGATGCGGGCTGCAGGGAAGAACCTGAGGCAGGTACAATCCAGCAACGGGTCCTTGAGGCAAATCCTGTTCTCGAAGCCTTTGGCAACGCCAGTACGAGCCGGAATCCAAACAGCAGCCGGTTTGGCAAGTGGATCGAAGTGATGTTCAGTGAAAAATACACAGTTACAGGTCAGTCTAGCAGTGGGACTGTGAGGCCTGATCTCCTTTAATGCGTTCCAACGATTGCTTGTACTATCCATCCTATTTTTATTCGAACATTGGTCAACGTAAAATCATTGTTTCTGTTCACATATTAGGTGCGCGAATAACATCTTACCTTCTCGAGGTCCCACGTGTTGTTGGACACGCCGAGGGTGAGCGCAACTATCACGTGTTTTACCAAATACTAGAGGGACTCAAGGATAGTATAAAGGGACTTCAGGGTCAATATCAGCTAGGCACGGATCCGGCCATCTTCAAGTATTTGCAGCCTTATCTACCCAGCAAAACGAGTACGTCCGCCAGCAGCATGTACACGGATATGGCGTTACATAGTAGACGGTTCGACAGGCACGTCGTAGCTCTCTCCCTCTACTTGTGAAAGGTTTGCCTTATACCATATATATTTCTGTAAATTTCTGCAAGTCTCCCATGTCCACTTGTTACATGGGCATTCTCTTAATCGGACAATCCCCTCTGTTCATGCAGCGCACTGGCACAGCTTTTCTGTTTTTTTGCTGCTCCATATGATATCCCGCTAAACGTTTTCAGTCGAAGACGCTGAAGGGTTAGAGGAGCTGAAGCACGCGCTTCAGACATTGGGATTCCGGGCTGCACAGCAAAATGACCTTTTTTCCGTTGTTGCAGCTGTACTGCATCTGGGGAATGTTGCCTTCATACCTCGCAGTGTACGTTAGATGAAACCCAGTTCTTTGACGTTGATTGGGAACGTTTCTCAGTTAAGGCGCTGTCGGTAATAGTTTAGATTGCAGTTTCTGGTCCGCCTGATTCATGTAACATTAATGCATTCCCTGGCGCGTGTTCTATGAGCCTGTGGTAGCAGTGTTACTTCATCGAAACAGATCAAATTTGTTGGCTTGCCTTCGCACAACCACATTTTCCATACTCTTACCAAGAGTAGACGCAATGTGACTGTTGCCATATCAGGCTGGTGGCGAAGAGGGTAGTACAGCTGATCCCACGACAGCAGCAAATCTGTCCAATGCGGCTGCTCTTCTGGGTATTCCTGAAGGTGTAAGGCTGTCAGAAATGCTCATCAGCTTCGCATGAAGACAACGTTGTATCTCCTTATGCAACCTACGGTGTAGAATGAGCAATTTTTGTTCTGCGTGCTTCCAAGAGCGACTGCGTACATTTTGACTGCTCAGGACCTTCTGGAGATCCTCGTAACGCGCTCACTGAAAACTGGGAACGAAGTCATTAGAATGGCATTGACTCCAGCTAAAGCAGTTGCAGCGAGAGATGGATTTGCGCAATTGGCTTACAGCTGCCTTTTTTCGTGGCTCATTGCCAGAGTGAACGAAAGCTTGCAGCCGACGCAAGCAACCCAAGTGCGTCAAAGCTTGCATTCAAAAGATGAGGTTGAAGAAGTGGCGAACAGTTCAGATAGCCCCTTAGCATTTTGGGTGGTGCAAACAATCCAAAAAGGCCCTCCTAAATGCTTTCTCACTTTGGTTGTGAATCTTGCCTGTTCTGCAGGTAGAAAAGAATGTCGTGGGTATTTTGGACATTGCGGGTTTTGAGAGCTTCAAAAATAATGGATTTGAGCAGCTTTGTATTAACCTTAGCAATGAGAAACTTCAGCATCACTTCAACCAGGATATTTTCTTGAACGAAATTTCAGATTACAAGAGGGAAGGGCTTCACGACTTGAAGCTGGCTTACACCGACAACGCTGATGTTCTTGATTTGATTGAAGGCAAAGGTGGTGAGTAAAAGCTGACGCAAGCAGATTCTGGGAACTTGGCATGAAAGACGCCGCACGGGCAGCCTTTCATGTGCATGCCAACTTGGCGCTGCTGCTGTTTTACCCAGGGATTTTTGCCACACTAGACGAAGAGTTATTTGTTCCTAAAGGGTCGGAGCAAGGCTTTGTTGCGAAGCTAGCGAAGAGTAGGGCGAATGACAAGCGCTTGATCCCAAACAAGTGGGTGCAGCAAACCGTAGCAGTAGGATAATGACTTGAGCAAGGATTGACAAGGAGCCTTTATTTTCTCGAATCCCGTGAATTGAAATGTTTGAGGGCCGTGGAATAGAATTGACTCGAGATCTTAACGCCAAAATGAGGGGACCTTCCGTGAGTGATCCTGCTTACAGGGCCTCCGGCTCGCTGACGTTCACTGTTTGTCACTATGCGGGTAACGTCATATACAATGCAGATGGATGGCTGCAGAAAGACCAAAATGCTTTGCCAGCAGACGCAGTAAACCTCCTGTTGTCCTCATCAAATGAGATCCTTGTCCAGGCGGTACGACTTGTCACTGAGGCCTCTGCAACTCAGAACGTCAGCAAAGGGAAAGGCAAAAGCACTGTGGGTATGTCGCCCCTTTTCAGTCACTGCTGTAATATTCGTAATTGCAGTTGTTAGTGCTTCTTCTTCTAGGGTTGCTGTTTGTCTTTCCCGTGACCCACAACGTACTTTACGGTGCAGCACAAACTGCCTGATATGTGTTATATGCAGCTTCCGAGTTTAAAAGGCAACTCAGGGACCTTATTTGCCGAATAGAGCAGACCAGCACACACTATGTTCGTTGCATTAAGCCAAACAAGCAACACACCCCGCTGAGCGTTTGCTCACATGATATTTTGAGCCAACTCATTTGCTCTGGTGGGTTAACGTCCTGCAATAGCTCATTCTACTTATTTCAGGCATTGCTGTGTGGTGAACCTGATAGTTTTGTTGGTAAGTAGTTGCATTGTGCGGCTCAGGTGTCATGGAGGCCGTGCGGATCCGAAAAGCAGGATTTGCTTTGCGGCTACTGCATGCAGACTTTGTGTCTCGCTATGGTATCCTAATGGGCAAGCAAGCGAAATCACTGAAGGCCATGCAGCCGAAGGACGCAGCAGAAATGCTGGTGCGGAAATGAACACGCAAAGGCGTCCAGCATGAGTAGACAGGCAATGCAAATTCGCCTGCATCGTTACAGTACCTGTATGAAGGGACTGGCTCCCTGGTATTCCTTGCGGGCAGGTTGCTCACCTCAGGAACACAATGGGTCTTACTCCTGAAACGTGTCTAATTGGCGCCTCGAAAGTGTTCTGCAAGGATACAGCGCAAGACGCCCTTGAATCCAATCGGTGAGTTGTTGCTCAGTCCGTAACTCTCTAAGTTTAATGCATTCTTCCTAGCCCCTAGCTCGCCGGTAGACTCAAGGAAGCCTTGCCTTCCGCTGTGTCTACACCTCCAGTTTCGTAGCTCATGCTTCATATGATTTCCTTAGCCCTTTTGTTGATGACTTCAGGCGCCTTTCCTTGGCAGCTCCGGCAATTTTGATTCAGAAACATGTCCGCGGTTTCCTCGTCCGTCGTCGCGTGGCGGAGGTGCTTGCGCTGAGCCGTCAGCTTCGCGTGTTTGTTGAGGCCATGGAGGAAGCGAAAAGGCAGGGAGGCTCTTTCCTTTCTCCAGCTCCAGTTTTCTCGGAAACGCCGAGTGCTCAAGGATTAAAGCAGAAGTAAGCGCTACAAACTACGTGGGAGGGGAGCAAGTTCGCAGACAGCATGCACGCCTGAAAGGAATTACACTTCTGGTGCTTTCGCATACTTCAGGTCAGATGATCTGCATATATTGATAACGAAATGCGAAGCCCTAGGGCCGACGTTGGAGCCTCCAGTGCTCTCGAAAGCGAAGCGCGCCTTTACGAAGATGAACAATGAAGCTCTAGTTACACTGTGAGAGAACCAATGCCAGTCAATCTCCAGAAGAAGGGCAGCATGGACACTGGCAGTTTTGAGTAGAAGTGTAAAGCCTCTTACAATGAGCAGACTAACCCTGTCATCATCGCAGGCTGTTGCAGAATAGGGTTGTTTCCTAGAGACAACACTTCACTTTTGCAAATTTTTGGAAATGCGGAATTTGCGATTGTTTACCTTCGATGTGTTTAATGTGAAATATGCAGCAAATTAGAGTCCGCGATTGCAGAAGCCAATAACGACGTCGGTTCTGTTGCCGATCTGCTGCTCCAAGCTCAGGACAAGGGCATCAGCAATGCCACTACTGAGCGCGTGTGTTCTAATCCCAGCACCCCCGACACAAAACTGAGCGTCCACAGCTGCTTAAATAAAGGTGTTCCTTACGAAAGTTTGCCTATTAGGTAGTGCTAGCAAGTATGAGAGGTGCATTGCACATGAACACATATCCTTGCAGTTGCGCTTCGTTCCGTCGTAGGCGGAGGCAGTAGTTAGCCGTTTGGAGGCGGAGCATGCACTTTTGGCCGACCTGGCGCCGGCACTGGAGTCCCGCGACAGCTCTAAGCTGAAGAAGCTCGTATCTCAAGGGCAGAAGCTTAAGGCAAGACTTCTAGCTGCTTCATCGTTCTGGATTTCCAAATTCTGCCTGGGATCCTGTATAAATATTTCATCCCATTAGAGCTCATGCGGATTGCCTCTTCATGCTGGGTTTGATGTGTTGTTTATTTTTCTTTCATTACTACATGCCAGGCGTATATCTACCTTTGAAGCTGTACCAGTTTCTCATTCTGTTTTCAGACAGCGGAAGCGTTCCGCCTAACCGAACTGAGTGAGTTGATCAACTGTGCACAAAAATTGCTTACCGCTTCATCAAATGAAGACTACAAAGATGAGCAAGCCCAAGCCGAGTTGGAGACTTCGCTCACGAAAGCACAAGAGCTTCAGAAGATGAAGTCTGCCCGCACTTTGCAACAAGAAATTCTCAGACAAGTAAGACTCTACAAGCGAGTCCTAATGCACTCTAGTTGGCCAGGGATGCAAAGACCAGTGCGTGCTGCAGGTTTCTTCTGTAGATGCAGCAGCATGCCATAACGGAGCGCTCATTGTGTTCTGGTTTGGAGCCTGCCCGCAGACAGTAGAAACCTGCGTTGCCGCAGACAAGCGGAAGAGCGTTGTTGCAATCAATTCACTGACGTATTCGAAAGACTCGTCAAAACTTGAGAGTACGCGATTTTGTTCCTTGTTCTTGATTAATTTCGCCTTCATTTGCATGTGAGCACTGCAGCAGCAGTTATGAATTCACCTGGAAGTAGGTGTTACTGGCTGTGCAGAAAAAACGGGAAGGCCAATCAAGGCTCGCCCACGGGACGAGTCGCCAAGTGCGTCCGAGTGGAGCGACAGCGACAGCGAAGATGATGGCTACTACTCTCTTTTTCAAGGTTTGAGAGATGCACAGTTATTTCGTGCATCATTCAGTGGATTAGCGGACACTGACGGACAGCATATAGCAGCAGTCTGTACAATTTTTAAAGCAATAACGTTTTCAGAGAAACAGCCTAACAAATGGCGGCGAAGAACTGTCTTGGGCTATTGATAGTCATGATTTTGCTGCTGCTTGTGTCTCTGCTCCTGCGGCTGTGGCTCTCGCAGTGCCTGCCTCCGCAAATGAGCGCCTTGCATCAGAAGGGGCATCTCAGAGGGACTATATGCACAAATATCTGAGTGAACTTACGCGTGCAACAACACAATGTGATGCAAAGACACTAGAATTCCTGCTGTCAAGGTAGGCATTTCACTTGTCTGCCGCTTTTCGCTGGTTCATGCCAACATAGTTGACCATTGTAGATGAGTAGACTCAACAACACTGCCAAACCTTATATTCTTATAAAAAGCTCAAGTCCTAGCAGCCACGCAATGGATGTTGGTATTTGCCCACCCAAATAATCAGTCAGAGCCGGCTAGCTCGCCAAGTTACCCTAGCAAAATTATTCCACAGCTTTAACAGGGTAACTTTCCTTTGGGGATAAGCAATGCGCATGTGACAACCGGAAGGCTTGTTGCGTCGCAGGGCCAGTGAGGCTGGCATATCTTCTGGCCAACGTGAAGTGCTGGTGGCCGAGCAGCAACTCCGCAATCTAGCGGATCGTCATTGGCTCGAATGCGAACTGAAAGAGTGTGTCATTCTTTTTTCTTGGGGGAGTGTCTCAAGTGCAGACGTTACTCGCCTCTCTAACCTGATCAAGCAAGCGCTTGTAACCCCTGGAGTCAATGCGGAAATTCTTCAAGCGGCTGAGGCTACAAAAAATGCAGTGGCGGAGCCTGAATTCAGCACCCCACAGCATGACGATCCGGCTGGGCTATATTCCTTGGAGACCTATCCAGACTTGGCAATAAATATTGAAATGAAAAGGACAAAAGTAAGTAAAGCTTTTAAACAGGGACTCCAACAAGCATCTAGACAGCCGCAAGGAAAGATAGGTTTAGTGCCGCTGCGCCGGGCGCTGTTTCTTATGCAGAGTGCGTCCAAGGTGGCTCGTCTCATGCTGCAAAGGGAGGCGCTTCTCTCCTTTCAGAGTGATGTCCTGACGGAGCCTTTACTTGAGCTGCCAGACCCATTAAAAAAGGACGGCCTTGTAATATTTCGCAAGCTGCAGTGCCTCATGGGCGATAGATTTTCTGTGGGACACAATTACTCAGTGGAACTTATTAAGACAGCCACAGCTTGTGAACCTCTGCGAGATGAAATGTACGTACAGCTGCTAAAGCAGTTGAGGAGGAATACCAACAATAGAAGCGTCTTGAAGGGATTCGGTTTTCTTGCAACGCTCTGCGAGCATTGCCCTCCTTCTCCTGCGCTAGAAAGATACGTGAGGCAAGCTCTGGAAGTGTACGTGGGCACGAGCTTCGCACCGATCGGAGGGCATTCTGTACTTGATGGAGACAGCAAACATAAAAACTTCATGCAAGCACCAACAGCTGCTGCAGGCGCCATTTATGACACAGAGCTGCAAAGCATATGCGCTAGGGGACTTCGGGCGCTCGAGGAAAACAATACTGCAAACCGACACGAAGAAAGCGCCAAAATCCCGCGCAAGTCGATTTTCGAATTCCAGGCAAGAATAATAGTTACGTGATTGTGCTTGTCTTTTGTATGCGTCAATAATAGCCGCTTCACAATAGGCATCATCAGTAAGTTGCGTACCACAGGAAGTGTACACGTCACCTATTGCACGAGCGAAATATGAGCGGCTGCATAGGCACTGTACTGCAGTTACGAGACTAGGCCCAGTCGTCAAAACACAGGTACACGACTTTCAGCTTGACCTTGTTTTTGCTGCCTTCAGATCTTTCTTGCTGATGGCTCCCGGAGACGGGTGCCTCTGGGACTACAAGCAACCGCCGAATCTTTGTGCCGCAGCACTGCTTCTTCCCTGAACATTCACAACAGTGAAGAATGGGTGAGAGTGGAGATTAATTCAACCGTAGTTTTTTCAGACGCAGTAGATGGCCTTTTGACTAATCCCCACCATTGAGCCCTGAGTCTTGATGTCTAAATCTGAATCCATAGTTTTGGCTTCAGCCAGTGAATAGAGCTGCATATTTGTACACAATGCGACAGTGCACCAAACGAAGCGGCACTCGGTTTGCTTCCTAAAATTCATTGGGTCAACAGGCTATCGCTGAGCTCCTACCAAAATATTTGCTAAAACCATGCCGCTCCGGAGTTGAGACAACCCCTTGCTACAGACTGTTACCTCAAGAAGAACCAGTGCTACCCCTCGTGGAAAACGCTAGCCGACAGGTGCGAATAGACAGTGTTCTACGTGGATTTATCCATCCAGTGTCTGGTGAAAGTGGGTGAACGAACGCTCACTTTCACCACACACTGGTGAAAGTGAGTGTTTGTTGCTTGGTCATTCAGTAAATTTGCTTGTATCTGTGTCATGTTACTGTGGAAAATTTTTAACAATTTCAGGTGAAGCTGATGTTCAGGAGGCCATATTTACGTTTACGGGAGAACATTGTGCCCCATCCCGCTCACAGTCGCCTAACGTGCCAACAGGCTGTAGCTGACTACATGTATTACCCTCTCGAAGAGCCTCCTGAGCTTGTCGCAGAGATTGCGTGAGGCTATAATCAAATATGGTGTTGGCTTCAATCGGTAGAAATTTGTTCTTGTGATGGGCAGGGCTGCCGGTCCCTACTTGCTTTAGGTATGCTTGTTCACATTCCTTATGCTCCTACGCCTGATCAGGGCAAAAATTTGGTGGCTGAAGGTGTCAGCGCAAAATCAAAGCACTGTACGAGGAGGAGCCAAGTGGTTGACTGTTGCCGAGCACATTCCTGTGAGGCTTCAGGGGAATCTACCGCCACATCGATGGGTGGCTCTATTTGAACAGTACGCGCAGGATTTGGAGCCGGACGAAGGAGAACTTGTCAAGATGAATAGCCTTTTCTCGACAATGAAGAAGCTAAAGGCACGTTGTGCGTGTTATGTATAGGTCACGGGATTGCGAGTCTTCCTTTTGTAGTGGCTTATATTTTTACGCGTAGTGAATCATGTAACAGCTTCACACTATAATAAATTGACATGGGCGCAAAGAAGCTTAGGCATATGAAGCACCGACCAGTATGCACATACAAGCACCTGTCGATGTGCAACCATGCCTGGTTATCTGTTTCCTGATATCTCCACCATTGTGTTGCGTTAGGTGTTCGGCGGTTCGTTTTTCCTCTGCGATCCATTTGAGCTGAAGCTTTGTCACATCGAAGCCTTCCCTGAAGTTTTTGCAGCTATTGCTGCGGCAGCTGGCTGCAGTTTGCCGAGTGAAGAATCAGACAGCTTGAAAGAGGCTCGGCGCACCATCCAGGACCTTATCGACAACAGCCTGCATACACTATTGATGCGAGAAGACAACAGAGGAGCCTCGAAGCTGCCGAGGCTACTGTGCCCGTGCGCACACCGTTGGGGCGGAAGGGTACAAAAGGGCTTTAACAATAACTCAGGCGATATTCAGAGGAAAAAGAGGATGGTCAGTATCGCGGGGAAGTGCTGGTTCGGATTTGGTGAAAGCCAACTCGTCCTGCAGGCCGCTGAACTTTGTGAAGATGAACCAGTGCAACGTCACATCCAAGGCCTCGCTGCCGCCCTTCACGATAAAAGCATCAGCTCTCTTCCAGAGGAGGTATCAACACCCGCATTCGCTCTAGCGTGTCCCTACAAGCCTTGGTTATTAATTAACACGCATTTCCACTGAGCAGCGCACTCTACTTCGCATTCAAGCGTGGTCCCTCCCAGTTGCATGTAAGCAACTTGTTCCATTAAAAGCGCATGTACGCTACGCGCATTTTGGCTAAAATCACAGGAATGACACCATATGCGTGTCCGTCTAACACGCTTTCCCTCGATAAAGAACAACCGTGAACTTCTTCCCAAAAAGATATTCACTGCACTGTATTTTGCTGTGTTCTTCACCTATCGTGCGCCGCAGCTGACAGGGGCATTCGCAGTTGATTGTCAGGGGTCACTACCAGATCTACTGATCCTGTTCATAAAAAGCGACGAGCAGGGGCCTCGATTGTGCGCATTTGTGACGCAGGTATGCAGATTTCGTGTCTTTACCTGTTCTCCATGAGTCTGGCTAACCACATTGAATATGTGTAGATTCCTGTCCCCTGCACCTGTATCTACGGAAACTGCCTCAGCTTCTAGCGAGTAGTATTGACGAATTCTGAACTTTCTGTTCCTGGTTTGAATGCAGGCAGATGCACGGTATCTGCTGCAGTACTTGCAAATTATCTACCCTCACATTAAACCTTGATACCCCGTCGTGTTCGTGCATGAACACTTCACAATTTTTCTTTTGTTTATTTGTGGACCACATGGTGAGCCCGGCAGCACTAGTTTCAAACAAGTTTACACATGCGCAGCTGTGAAAGCCAGACGCACCTGCCGCTCTGTCACTGTTTCTTACGTTTCGCATGAAGCTGTGCGCGGCACAAAAATGCCGCACGAAACTAGCCTCAAGCGGCCGCACCAACCAAACTAAAAGGAGCCAAAAATTGCTCTGCTGCATATTTGTTGCATAAGAATTTATCTTGTCATCTCAAAATCCCCGTTGCCTGAGCTTTCGGGAAGTGAACATAACTCCTCAGATCTCTTCACTTGCTTCCAAAAACCAACCGTTAAGTCAGCAAAGGATTCGCTTCACATGCAGGCAGCACAGCGTCTTCAGGCGCGCCGTTTGCACGCGTGTCAGATGCCGCGAATTCGAGAGCTGCAACGACAGCACTCAAGCAGAACACCGCATCAGCTGTCGCTTCCACCCCATGTAGCTGCTCCTCAGCTCGCTTCTTCATTTTGTCACGCTACCATAACAATATCGCTTGCCTTCAATTCCAAATCCCGATTCAAACGCATCTTCACACTCCCCTACTACTTTCTCTGCCATGCCTCTCCCACAACACCACTGAGACTCCCGCGCTCTCCTTGCCACTTGAGCAGCCGCGAAAGCTGCGTCAATCCTTGAGAGTTCCTCCACTCTTGCTCTGAAATAAAAGACATGTGCACGCACAAAGGAAGCGCTAGATGAGTGTCCAAAAACGGGCATCAGTTGTTCACCTGCAGTTAGCCTGTCAACTACTACGCAGCCCTGTTGTGCGCGCGGGGAACAAAGCCTAAAATAAAGGTGCAGTCACGCAGTTGCGAGTACTTGGACAATTTTAGTGACCACTTGTTTTTTTTATGCACGTTTGCAAATTTACGCATGCATGAACGCTACCGTTTCTTTAATATTCTTTGTTGTTTTCGACCGAAGGACCCTTGCATGCGATTTGGAAGCACAGCCGCGAGAGCTTCTCCCCAGTTTCTGTTTTTCAGGAAAAGCATCAAAGCTTCCAGCACAGAGTTTACGTTCAACACCACCCGCTGTTTCTCAGGCAGAAACGTCTGAATTAACGCATAAACAAAAATGCGAATAAAAATACATGTGAAGCCACTCCAAACAAAAAATCGAAACTTGAGAGACGCATTTACACCGTCTAAGCAACAGAACGGCTTAAGAATGGGAGCTTCAGTGTTCACAGACCTTGAACGGTAGCTTCCGGCACGTCAGACCGAGCTCTTCTGCCTGTGAAAAGCTCAAACCCTGAAACGAACATCGGCACAACTTTGCTCCTTTTGCACTGCTGGTATTGCTTGTGTCTCTTAATGCCGCTGCTGTTGGTGCTGTTGCTTCTGGCATTGCTGCTGTGGTAAAGAAGCAGATATTCTCTCACTTTGCTGATAGTCCTGTCTACTAAACCTCCAATAACGAAAACCTTTGAGGGGTCGACATCCAACAACTCCTGCAAAATGTCACAAGTTTTAGACCGTAGGCGAAACAATGGAAGATGCATCTAAATCAAGCCCAACGCAACTCCTTATGAGCCCTATTGCTCAGTAACACCAAACTCTAAACCTACTACTTAAAGGTGTACCATCTGTTTTATAGTAAGCTGACCTCGGAAGCATCCGGCGAAAGGACAACTATTTCATCAGGGGAAAAACACTGCCAATAGGGTTCCTCGTGTCTGTGCACCTGAACAACGAACAGTAAACGTAAGCCCTAAACTAGCATCACAATCCAAGCGCAGAGCAACCTTTTTGACAGTAACAAACATCTAGTCACAGCTACATGTCCTCCACCCCGCACAAAAGGCATCATCTGGCAAGCACGCATCCGCATCACTATCCTCTCAGCAGCAATATAACAGTAGCAATACCAGCAACAGTGAAAAGAACCAGTGCACTTACCAGCCACGAGTTCCCAGCGAAGAGGTTCTCGCATGCAACACGGCACGGACTGCCTTCAACGAAGGAAGACAAATGAAGTTGAATCTGTGCAGCAGCAGAAACAGCATCATAAAGGCGGCAGCAGCATGGGAGTAGCTCAAGAACATTTGTTCTGCAGGTAAGCATGATAAGATACAGAAAAACCTATTGACAATCCCACCTTTGTGTCCTTCGTCCTCTTCACGTGGTGATAGCTCAGAAACAGCTGCTTGGCGAGGCTCCGGATTTCCTAAAAATATCGGCAGAAAAGGCAGAAGCAAAGACAATATGCATTTATTTCATCTGGTGTCTTCTTCATAGTCCTCCTTCTTTATTCATGGCTCTGCACCAACAGCAGCAGTGGCCAGACGATAGCTCCGCCAGCGACAACCCCACCGACAGCTCACTTTGTCTTGCATTGTTGAATCAAACGAACAATTGAAGCAAATCCGAACACCATCCTTCATGCACTCCTCTAGATGCACCTGGACATTCCAAGACGTAGCAGCAGCTGTAGTATCAAGATATTCTCCAGTAGCATCAGTAGCAGCAACCTCGCTAAAGGCACGCTTACCAAAACAAAGGTGCTGCTTCCCTACCCTGTCCTTGGATCCACGTGTACAGTCATAGTCTGAGACTGGACTAATATATCAGTACCCAAATGCGCGCGGCTGTCTACGGTTCCCCGTTGAGGCCTCAACTACCCACCTGGAATGCTTCTTTCTCCTTTTGCAGCCGTTCCTTATGGGCCTTCATAGCGGCCGATTTATCCTCTGCAGAAAATAAAACAGTACCCACTAACACTGAACTATTTCGTGTAGATTCCATTCACTTGTCTCTACAGTTCGCCATGCCTCCAATCAATTAAGGGTCTCCCAATTTAGTTACTCCCCTCGTTCCTACTGACACTACTGCTGAAGTCGCAGTCTCTTTCAGCCGCAGTCTCTTTGATTTACTCTTGCACTTTTTGTGATCATGCAGGTAACAATCTCACCACTAGAAACAAGCCCTTCAAATATTTGCTCGTTTCTTTTCTTCCGTCGCTTTCTTCTCTCTTCCGGCCGTTGTTGTCTCTTCTTTTGACGATAATTTTCGCGTGTGAGCAGCTTCTTCTGAGATCGAGGGAGTCGCCGCTGCTCATGCTCCTCGTGCTGCTCTTGGTATCCGTCCCCCCGTTCCTGTTGCTCCTCCTGCTCCTCCCGCTCCTGATGCTCCTGCTCAGGCGCCTGTTGTTGCAGCTGCTCCTGTAGTTGGCGCGCCTGCTGCGCATTCAGCCCCCCTTCTGTTGTTGCTGCAGCCCCTGTCGCCGCTGCAGCAACATCAGTCAGTGCTAACTCGTCTTTCTTGGATCTAGGCAGGCCCCGTTCCAAGCCTCCAGTGCAGCTGCAGCTGCTGCAGCTGCTGCTGGGTCCTGCTGCTGTTGAAGCTGAAGCTGCTGCCTTAGCTGCATCTGCTGCTGCAGCTGCTCCTGCATTTGCTGCTGCGCAGGGGATGCTGCGTACCACAGATGCTGCTGCTGCTGCTGCTGTTGTAGGAGCGGATGATAGCAGGTAGTCTGCATCATGGGGTCCATGTAAGCACCACTTGCTGCTGTCGGCCAGATGCTGCTGCCGTGCAGCAGCAACAGCTGTTGCTGCTGCTGTTGCTGCTGTTGTGCTGCAGCAACCTCCCACATGGAGCTCTGTAGCTGCATGGCCGCTGCTGCTTGCTGTGGGATATGTGCACCTGTGGCTGCCGCAGCTGCTGCCACAGCTGCAACCGCTGCTGCAGTGGGTTCCTGCTGCTGCTGCAGGAGCAACTGCTGTTGCTGTTGCTCCGGTGTGGGCGGAGGCCACGACATCAAGGGCTGTTTCGCAGGCGGCGTCTGCGGGGGCTTCGCAACAACCGGCACTGCCGGCACTGCCGGCACTGCAGGCACCGCCTGCACCGCCGGCACTGCCGGCACTGCCGGCACCGCCGGCACTGCTGGTACTGCCGGCACTGCGGGCACTGCCGGCACAGCGGGTACTGGCGGCACAGAGGGCACTGATGGCACTGCGGGGACTGCCGGCACTGCTGGCACTGCCGGCA